CTTGCGGATTTCTCCCCCCCCCCCCCACGGTTGGGCTCTCTCCAGCTTTCTTTGGTTCTGCCCCCCCTTTTCAGATTTAAAAATTCAGGGGTCAACAGTCACAGGAAACAGAAGCCCTTTCTATGATTATTTGCTTCTTGTCATTTCAGGTGAAGCTCTGTGCAAACATCTGTACAAAATCCCCCTCAGCAACCTGGTTGGCAGGAGCATTGAGCGGCCGCTCAAATCCCCCTTGGTCTCCAAAGTGATTGGCACTCCAACATCTGCCGGTGGCGCCTCCATCCCCATCACACCTTCCCTCCCATTGTCGCGCATCGAGATCAAGGAAATCGCGAGCCGCACACGCAAGGAGTTACTTGGTAAAGCCGGCAAGGGTGTGTGTGTGTGTGATGTCTCTTGAATCCAGCACAGGTTTTTGTGCTCTTTGTTCGGAACGATGAGGACTGGCATCTTATCTTTAACTGAAAGACAGTAGCTCTGTGGTCTGACTCCTTGTAAGGCAGCTGCTTAGGTTGTGATTTAATTTGGCCCCCTTTTTAGAACCATGAAGATAAAAGGTTATTTCATTTTTTGATGAAGGAGAACAGCTTGGTGGTGGAAATATGTGAGCAATCTTTATCCTCTCCAAAATTCCAGCTTGGAGAGGAAGGGTAGTGTTCTAGGTCACCCTTGCTGTTCTAGGTCACTCTAGGTGAGCGGGATTTCTGACCCCCATGCATGTTATTCTTGAGCGTTTATCGGTGGTAGCCACCTTTGGGTCAGAACGGCAAGGGGCAAGGTGTGAACTTTCCTTTAGAAATGAGACAGTCCTGTCTTCTTTATTCTGATGACCCAGAGGATCTCATTCCTTCCTCACCCAGGCCTCTTAGAGGAGTCTGTTCCCAAGTCAGAAGGAGGACAAAAACAGAAGAAGCCCCCTCTGAAACCATCGGATTCCAAGCAGGGAGCCGTACGGTCGACGAGCAGTGACAGGTGCCCACGCAGATTGGTGCTGTATTTCTGGGAAGTAGCCGGAAGGGGGTGGAGGGGCTTCTGATAAGTACAGTGGTACCTTGCTTGACAAGGATAATTCGTTCCGTTCAAATCGTTGTTAAGCGAAATCCTCGTCAAGTGAAACAAAAAGCCCATTGAAATGTATTGAAAACCGGTTCAGTGCGTTCCAATGGGTGAAATACCTCAGCGTCCAGCGAAGATCCTCCATAGGGCGGCCATTTTCCGGTGCCTGTAATATGAGGAATCCGTCCTAAAGCACAGTGGGGAGCCATTTAGCACAGCGGGCAGCCATTTTGAAACCTGACGATCAGCTGTTTTTCATCGTCGTTAAGCGAAAAATCGGTTCCTGAAGCAGGGAACCGATCAACGTTAAGCGAAAAAAGCCCATTCAGTCATCGTTTAGCGATCGCAATACGGATCGCAAAAAACTAATCATCAAGTGATTTCCTTGTCTAATGAGGTAATCGTCAAGCGAGGCACCACTGTATTCCTATATCTCTCTTGTACCTAGAACCGAAGCAGGATGTGGTGCTGAAGCCATTGTGCAATTTGCTTTCCTTTGTACAAGGTGTGGCAGTGGGGAGTTCAAATCTGCAATCTCTCTTGTACCTAGAACCGAAGCAGGACGTGGTGCTGAATCCACCTTCCTTGTGCAATTTGCTTTCCTTTGTACAAGGGGTGGCAGTTGGGAGCTCAAATCTGCGCTGTGCCTCCCTGTCAGGGGGTGGGCTCCATGATCTGTAAGGTCCCTTCCCACTTTGCAGTTCTGAGGAAATGATGATGATTGACCCTCTCCCCTCCAATCCCAAGTCACTCACTCATACCCCACAGGCCTGTTTGTAGCGACAGAGGCAAAAACAGAGAGAGGAGGAAAGGAGTTTAGTCTTTCCTGCTTCTCTTAAGTGTTAGATCAAGTGTCGAGACCCACCTCTTGACACGAAGATCAAATTCAATTTGGGAGAGTTTCTCAAGACCCCCTCGCATGGGGGGGGGTTCAGCCCAAAGAGTGATGCCAAGAATTGCCAGACTATTTTAGCTGAACGTCTGCCCTTCCCCGATGGGCTACAGTGCCCATCAACCCCAGCCAGCCCCAGTAACGGAATGTTGGGCGTTGTAGTCTTATCTGGAGGGTTGCGCTTCTCCTGGGCTTAATGATTAGAAGGGGTACGTACGATGCCCCACCACAACCGGGTTTGTACACCCCCAGGTTCACTTCTCTTTCCTGTTCCTCCGCAGGCTCGTTGCAAGCTCCTTCGACAGCGCGTCCGAAGACCGCCACTTCTCCACCAGTTCGGACCCCGACACGGCCACCCGGGACGAGAGCCCCCCTTCCGGCAGCCCCTTTCAACTCGGGGCTTCCTTTGATGAAGACATCATTGACTTGAAATGAAAGACGGGCGGGAGACGCAGCAGCCACGTAACACACGTCGACACCTACGCCCACCTCTCTGGGCTGCCCCCCCCCAACCTTTTCTCTCTCCCCCCACCGCCCTCAATTTTGTATGACTCTTTAAACATTACAGGGGCCTCAAACTGCACTTTCTGTTCATTTTGGAAGTGGCAAGTAGAGCCCCATCCGGTTTTGGCATGCCCAGTATTTTTAACTTGTGGAGGGAGGGGAACCAGGAGGTTTTTTTGGGGGGGAGGCGTATGCTTGGTGTTCTTCTTCTTAAGTAGCAGAGCTGCCACCGGCCCGTAGCCGACAGAGTTAGTTTTACTTAGTGCAATCCCCATCCTTTTGCATGTGAGTCCATCTTTTGCAAGACTTTTGAAAAAAAGCTTGAAATTCGAGCGGTTCCTTGCAAAGTCAACGGCCGACAGAATGGCTCAGAGGAAGGGCTGCATCTTGCCCACGATGCTTGTGGAAGGAAGCTGGCGGCTATGCTCTCTTAAAGAGGCAGGAGAGGCAGGGAATAAGGGCTGTTGACCTGTTTTTAATCGGACACCCCCCCCAAAATGGATTTCGGTTCCATACAGCTCTTTTTTTTTGCCTCCCATCTTTGAGTTCGGACGGAGCCCTTTTTTGGTAAAGGGCGGATACTATGTCCTTGTTCCTCTTCCTACTTTTTTGTTCAGGAAGGCGCTTGGAGGAACACGGATCTCATGCTTCCTCCTTGGGAAAGGGTGGGTGGGTAGGTGTGGTGGGGGCTCTTCTAGCACATACCTAGCAGACGTTTCCTTAAATTTAAAGCCTTTGAAACCAATCGAACCTTTGTTTCTCTCTCACACACCCCCAGATCTGTGCCCTGTATAGAGTGGATCACACACTCTGTTTTTAAAGTGAAAACTCGTCTCCCGTTTTCATGGCCACCCCTCCCTACCCAACCCCGAAACCTAGCACGGCTAGAAAGCCATGGTTTCTCCCGCCTCTCTCACACGTATGCACCAGCCCATAAAAAGCGGCAAGCCAAAAAAGAAAAAATTCACAGCTTTTGCTGAGCTCCTTTGTTCTTGGTCACATGATTGTATTTTTAAAAAAATTCATTGATTCTGGGGTTTTTTCCCCAGTTCTTATCAGATGACTGCTAAGACGTTGAGTTGTGGAACCCAGCAAGGATGTCTTCAGCCAAGCAGTACTTTATGCAGAGGGTGAGGATATTTTGAAACAGACAATCCTGCTCCCATGGTATAGATGCTTATTTAGCTTCCTCTCGGCTAAATGGGTCTTGCAGGTTGGTGTCTTTCAGGAGCCTGCCAAACCTATTGAACCAGAGGCAAAAAAAACCCCCAAACAAACAGAACCTTGTGCTGAGTCTTTTGCATGGATGTTCTCTCTCTCAAACTACTTTAAGCTTTCCCAAAGATTTCTTTCCTGTCCACCCATCTCTATCCACCTCTCTCAGAGAAGAATGTTTAAACATGACATTGTGGGGAGTTTGTAGGTATACTTAGATGCTAGCGCTCCAGCTGCGAGGCGGATGATCCCAACCCCTTGGGAGGTGTCACACTTAAATGCTTTTGGCCATTCCCCAATTCGGGTGCGGAATGTTTCTTTCTTGCCAGGCTGCAGAGAGTAAGGTTTCTGATTTCTTCTAACTTGCACAGATCCAAGTAGCTTAACCTCTTTTCCTGCTGGCGACGTCATCCATTTCCAGAGGGTCTTCTGTTAGTCTTTGTTTTTCCACTCTCTGATCAATGAACGAAGCAATATACGTCCGTTTAAAACCTAGGCCGTGCTCCTAGCTCTCATGAGGGTAGCAGGATCAGTCCTTTTTAAAAGGGAAGGCAGTCTTTGCTTTGAGACTAGAAGGGGGTGGCTCTGAGAAGGGATTGGACTGAGGAGGGAGGCGCAGCCCGCAACCTTTCCTCGTAAGATCCCCGTTTCCACCTTCTTTTCGGCTACCTCCTCTGCCCACCGATACTCCATGAGTCCACTTCCTCTGGCCCTCTGTTCCACAATTGCCTTATTTTTAAGCCAGCTAAGACGGGAGCACTTAAACTATCCAGGGGAGATGGTTCTAGAGAACGATCTGTTCTGATGTTCCCTCCAGCGCTGTTGGATTTCGGACAACCGATGTCCGTTCGCTCAACAGTCCCACCTTTACGCTCGGCAGCCCCAGCTGAGCCCGAGCCACAAGGCAAGAGAGGCTGACCGTTCAGCCTGGGTGATGCTGGGCTTGTTTTTTTGGGGGGGAGAGAAAGAACAGGACACGAATGCATCTCAAAATCAGCCTGCTATTCGAAATCTTTGCATACAGTCCCTGGCACTGGTGCTTGTCAGAATCAGGGGCCTCTCTCCTTGGGCAAAAGGGCTACTGGGCCAACAAGCCACCACGATCCATAACCCACCCGATTTAAAGGCCAGGCGAGCAGCAGAGCCAAAGGGATAGATTCAGAGCGGTGGGGGTTGAGAAAGCGGCGCTCATTGCTGGGGAGGGATGTAGAGGGAGGGGAGTCATGGAGGATGCCGGGGGAACGGTCCCTGTCACATCTCGACCCTGGGGCTTCGCTCGCGGCCCGTAAAGCAAGGAAGGGGCTGAGTGAGGAACAGGGGTGTGTGTGTGTGATAGGAGCTGTGCGTTCGCATAGAATGATAGAGGCATCAGGTGGGTGAAAAAACTTGGGTGAGGTGCAGAGCTGGTGGCCCGGAGAGCTCCAGGGGTAGCGTTCCCCACTTTTTGAGATGCTACCCGGCTGTTTGAGCTCAGACCTAAGAATATGTTTCTTTTGGCTTTTTTTAAAAAAATGCACTGTTCCTTTTCCGTCCATGGCGAGAGACTTTATTGGCCTGGAAACCAGGCTGGTCGGAGGCCGGCCATCAACAATCCTGTGACTTTTTGGGGGGCCGACCGAGGGCTGCGGGTCTTCTGGCTTTGGGTGGCTGTCACAATTAGAGAATGCAGGACACCAGTTGGTGTCTACTAAGCCGGATTCTCGTGTATTTGGAGAATCCATGAGATACGATTGTGGGTTTTTTTTCCGTGTGCTTGTGACGTTTCGTTTGACCACTGTATCCTAGTAGGTATAAACTAGGGTCTGTCAACAAACTCACTGTAAATACTCTTTCCAGAGGAGACGTTTGAGACCCATGTCACGAATCCTTGCATGGGACCCCAGAGGCTTCTGGCCTGTTAAGAAAGACGCACCCACGCTGGCCTTGCCTACCATCTCAGCGATGGTCGGGGACCCGCAGGGCCGAGCAGATGGCGAGGCAACCTTACCTATCTATTTGTCTCAGGAGAGGAAACCGATGAAAGGTGTCCCGCTGGACCGAATATTCTCAGACCTCTCCCAAGCAGGTTTCCCAGGGGGGTCCAAGGAAGGTGTGACGACAAGAGGGGCCGAACAGATCACAAGAATCGTCTATGTATCTGAGCCACAGCGGGGTGATGGTCATGATTTGGGCCCGCCTCTCTTTGCGCTGTCGATTTGCAGAGGTGGATTTGGGGGGCCGTGCAGATTTTCTCTGCACAGCAACAGCAGCAGCTGTTTTTGGGGAGTACCAAACTGCAGCTAGAATGGAAAGAACAGTTTTAAATTAGGGGCCTGACACGGGGGTAAGAGGTAAATATACCCCTTTTCCTCAAGGGCTCTTGCCTCAGTCCAATACCCGCCGCCCCTAGCCAGCGATGAAATTTTTTAAAAATGTATGAACGTGGGTCATTCGGATCGTGGCTCTCATGCTTTGGCCACGTCCGCTGATTCCTGCAGCAGCTCATCCAGCGAAGGCAAGGGGCTTTTTGCTCATCAAACCAGGCAAGGGGCAATGGGCACCTACCTTGAAGGGAGGCCGTAGAGCGGTCTACGTAGCTACAGGCGTTGCATGCAACGATTGTGACCTTGGCAGCCAGGTTTCAAAAAAACGGAACCTGCAGAAGTATTCTCCTACGTTCACAATTTAGCAAGATAGAATACACACCCAGCCCCCAGTGGTTTATGCTTCTGGCTAGGGAGTCATAGGTTGGGAGTTCGATTCCCCACCAGGCTACCTAGACAGGGTGTGGACTTGATGATCTACAGGATCCCTTCCAGCTCTGCTGTTCAAAGGTGGTGGTTATTATTATATCATTTCTCCCCATTGTTGTGTACATTCAGGAGAAGATGACTTTATTGGCTGCTGATGTTGACAATGGCCTCTTAACTGGACTTTTGCTGTACATTGCTCTTCCTACGGAGATAATTGCCTTTCTGTGTTTCAGGCCACTCCTCCGTTATCTCGCACACAGGTTCACCCTTAGGGCAGAAGGTCTGTTCCTTTTTTCCTTGTCCCGTCTTCCTTTCTGAAGGGACCGTCCGGAAAGGTGTACGATAGGTGCCCGGGACAGACTCTTTTTCCATTCCCAGCGGTTGCTTCCCGGAACACTCACTGTAGCAAAATTCAGAATCGGTCCCGAAAAAAAACTCAAACATGACGCAGCCCCCCCCTTCGAACAAAGCCGTAAGCTTTGTCCAGAAATACAGGGCGAAGTTCACCTCTTTTGAGGTGGGGGTCTTTGGGCGCAAAGATCTCTGCCGCCGTTGTAGCATCCCATCAGCCCCCCCCTCCCGAGTCCCCATCCGTGTCCCATTCCATGTGATCGTTGCATGTTCGTCCCTTTTGACAGCTACGAATGTCTGCGTTTTCTCATGGCATTGCTGTGTGTCCACCGTGAGAATTCTTATCCCTTCCTCTCTTCCCCCCCCACCCCCCAACAAGGGGTATGGGCCCCCTCTTTTCTTCAGGTCTGACTTCTTGATATTTATTAAGTATTTCTCTTGCCAGACAAGAAGGCATCTCCGATGCCGATGTTTGTACAAAACGGTTCGTTGTCAACCCTGGTTGCTTGTTTTTTTTCCTTAAAAAGCCCTTGAGCGCAATCCAGCATGAGTTAGTCGTCAGGCGAAGTCGCTCCCAACAGGTTGGAAGGACCGGGGCTGGAAAGCATCATTCCCAGGCACCCAGTTCTCTGGGTTTGGCGGTGAAGTTGGTGGGGCTTTCCTTCTTTGTAAATCTGCAGTCATCCTCTGCTTCGGCGCTCACTGGGCGTCGCCGTGATGGCGCCATCCGATTACTTCTGACGTACGCCGACCCTAACAGGGTTCTTGAGGTGCGCAACAGATTCATGAGTAGGTCTGCCCAGTGAGTTCCTCTAGCTGAGCCAGGATTTGAACCCAGATCTCCAAAGTATGAGTGAGCTCTCTGGTTGCGTTGAGGGTGCGTGTTGTGCAGCATTTTACATCTGCCCTATTCCAAGAGTGGGCATCATACAAGGCTTCGGATCTCGCTGCACTTGCTCAGCGTTCCTCACCTTCGACTTCATTGCCTAGGAGTCGCAGCCGAGCCCAGTCCAGAAAGGGCCCCTTTTAATGGCTCACCAGTGGTTGTTGGGAGACCATAACTGGGGTCAGACATTGGGGAGAATCAAGGGTCAGCTTGCAAGTCCCAATAACGTCCTCCCAAAAGAGTTTGACAGCCATTGACACTCTTGACAAGAAAAATATACAGCAGGCCAATTTTACGCCTACAGAAGAATCTACCCTTTATTTCTGTTGAGGCCAATGCATTGTGGACAAAACCTGTTCTCCACAGGTTTATTGTGCATGAAGTCCCCCCGGATCTCGCGGGGCTTCTTCCCGGCCGAGGTGTGCAAGTTGTAGTCATGGCTAACAGTTGCTGGATTGTGCCTCTCGACTGTTACCTTAGTGGGGTTTTGTACTTTTCAATGATTCTGTACTGTTGGGTTGTGGCTTACCCTCTTTGTGAGTCTCAAAAGTTTAAATTATACCACCAAGTGTCTTAAAAACTCGATTGTATTTGCCATTGTTTTTAAATGCTACAGTAATAATGTACTATTCTTTTTCCTCTCTCTCTTTTTTTTGTGTGTTTTCAAAATGTAGCTTGTAAAGAAAAAGAGATTCAAGATGTGAATATAATGGCAAAACAAAAACAAAAAAAATCTGTTCTAACCAAGTTCCATAGACCGCAGCTGTAAAATGGACTGTAGGTTCTTTATTGCTTCTTCTTCCTTGGTATGTAATAAATATTTATGACATTTGATTTCCCCCTTTTCTCCCCATGGGTTTGCGTGGGCACTGCTGAAATGGCACAGGGATCGGCGGAGGCCCTCTCTCTCTTCCCTCAATCAGAGGTAACGAAAAGGACTCTGAAATAGGGTGGTCGTGGTGGAAAGCAAACAGACACACAAACTCTTTTATTTTGGGAAGGACCGACGTCCATCTCAAGTGGGCTGTGGTTGGCTTTCTCTAGATGCTGCTATGGCTGTTTCTCGCACAAATATTTCCTGTTCCACTCACTGCGATTTACTTCCGAGCGCAACCGAGCTTCTGATGTTCTTCCTCATTTCAGTGATGGAGACGTGGCTTTTCCACCAGAAAACTTACAGATCGAGCCTTACGTGTCATACCTCCTCCTCCTCCTAGGCCTCATCCGGAGTGCTGTGTCCAGTTCTGGACACCACACTTTTAAGAAGGACGCTGACAAGCCGGAGCAGATTCAGAGGAGGGCACCAAGGAGGCTCAAGGGACTAGAAACCAAGCTCTAGGAGGAAAGACGGAAGGTTTCGCCTTGAGAAAGAGAAGACTGGGGGGGAGATACAATAACACTTTTCAAGTACTGGAAAGGTATTCCTACAGAGGAAGGGCAGGATCTGTTCTCAGTCATCCCAGAGGGCAGGACACACAATAATGGGCTCAAGAGGAAGCCAGATTTAGGCTGAATATCAGGAAAAACTTCTCAACTGTTAGAGCAGTACGACAATGGAAACCATCGCCTACGGAAGTGGTGAGCGCTTCCACCCTAGATTGGACAGCCGTCTGTCAGATTTGCATTGATCTGGAGCAGGGCATTGGACTGGATGGCCTTAAGGGCCCCCTCTCAACCCCGTCATTCTATGATATTAGAGACCGTAGGGTGTGTCATTTGTGCAGAAAACTTTTTCCCCCCCATGCCCTGGCTCCTTCCCCTGGAGAATGAAGTCAGGTCAGGTTCAGCAAGGAAGGGGAAAAAAGGGTTCAGGAAAAAAAAGTATGTTAAAAAGATCAAAACGGACAAAGCCTTTGTGAACATAAACCAGGTGGGTGTAGCCGATGGGACACGTCTGTGGCCTCCCATCCAGGCCGATCATACAAGCCTCCAAAGGATCACAGGAAATACGAGAAGAGATGAATCCTAATGAAGCTCAGCCTGGCAGGGAAGAGAATGAGTCAATGCACGCATGGAGGGAATGAGTGGGACGGAGAATCTCTCTCGGCCTCGCCGGGGAGACCCTCCCTTTGATCCGTTTGCCAACAGCTGAAGATCCATCTTTTCAGGCAGGCTTTTAACAATCGTGATTGAGTCCCTGAGTGTCTTTTTTTAAGGTAAAGATAAGTTTTCCATGTACGCTTACTTGCTTTTAATTTTTCAGTTGTACTTTAGGGAGTGTATAGTTTTTTTAAAAACTTTAACTTACTATGTTTTTAATTCTATCCTTTTAAATATCGTGAGCGGCCTTCCTTCTTAGGGGAAAGGCGCAGGCTTTTAACAATCGTGATTGAGTCCCTGAGTGTCTTTTTTTAAGGTAAAGATAAGTTTTCCATGTACGCTTACTTGCTTTTAATTTTTCAGTTGTACTTTAGGGAGTGTATAGTTTTTTTAAAAACTTTAACTTACTATGTTTTTAATTCTATCCTTTTAAATATCGTGAGCGGCCTTCCTTCTTAGGGGAAAGGCGGCCTATAAATAAAACAAACAAATAAACCCCGCAATTAAGAAACCCTAATTAATTTGCAGACCTCAAGGCCACAAGGTGTGGAGACAGCTGTTGGATTTAAATGACATTTTGATCTCCTGACCCATGATGGCCAAAGGACAGCCACTGTTCTCATTGCTGGATTAAAAAGACAAGGGAGGGGCTGTCAGATTATCCACTGCAATGAAAACTAGTATTTCCCACTATGGAAAGACTAAAGATTGATGTTGTAGTTCTGCGGGGCCCATCCAACACCCTACTTCTGAGGTGGAGAGCTGGCAAACACATCTGTCAAAGCGGGAAACAACTGCATCTTTCAAAGCAGTCTGTGAAAGCATACATCAAGTCAGTCTTCATGGTCTTTAAGCTGCCCTCAGACTTTTTGCTGATTCCCCCCCCCCCTTGGATGTGAACTATATGAAAACAAAACAGCTGAAGTTTTGAAACAAAATTTCCCATTCAGATAACTAAAGTTTATTGCTTAGAGGAAGAATATGGTTTCATAAAATCTTACTCTCCAAAACACGAAGAACATTGTTAATACTGTTAATTATAAGGAAGACACTGGCTCAGATAGCGCTTCTGATTTGCATACGCTCTTGACCTTTTTTCCCCCCTGCATGGTGGCCCTTTGGGGCAGAGACCTACAGGTAATGCAGACCCAGAAATAAGAGGCAGCATCGCTCATCCCCACACAAAACTTTACGAGTTCTACGGCGGCAGCAAACTGACCTTTCGGAAACCCACATCCCCACAATAAAAAAATAAATTACTGCCTCTGAACGACACTGACATGATCCGGCATACATCAAGTCAGTCTTCATGGTCTTTAAGCTGCCATCAGACTTTTTGTTGATTCCCCCCCCCCTTGGATATTCAATATATAAAAACAAAACAAAACAGTTGAAGTTTTGAAACACGATTTTCCCGTTTAGATAACTAGTTTATTGCATAAAGCACCGTTTACAGGAAGAATATGGTTTCCTAAAATCTTACTCTCCAAAACATCGGCGGGGCAGAGACCTACAGGTAATGCAGACCCAGAAATAAGAGGCAGCATCGCTCATCCCCACACAAAACTTTACGAGTTCTACGGCGGCAGCAAACTGACCTTTCGGAAACCCACATCCCCACAATAAAAAAATAAATTACTGCCTCTGAACGACACTGACATGATCCGGATGGAACGAAAACGTCTGTCTGCGTTCTCGCGGGGCAGAGACCTACAGGTAATGCAGACCCAGAAATAAGAGGCAGCATCGCTCATCCCCACACAAAACTTTACGAGTTCTACGGCGGCAGCAAACTGACCTTTCGGAAACCCACATCCCCACAATAAAAAAATAAATTACTGCCTCTGAACGACACTGACATGATCCGGATGGAACGAAAACGTCTGTCTGCGTTCTCGCATTAAATCAGTCCGCCCCTGTGACAAAGTCGTAGTAGACAAAACAGCACCATTCCAAGCGGGATAAGGGTGGATTGCATTTCAGATTTGGCCCCCAGGTGTATGTTTTAAAGGATTAGGGGTGGGTTGGTTATATTCTAGTTGAAAAATAGCACAAGGACCTGGACAAGGAGTTAAACTACCTCTATCCTGTGTTAGGGTTTATTTTTAATTCCGTTACGAAAACCAAAAATCAAGTTGTCAACTGTTTCTCATTCCTCTGCACAACACAGAATCGAGCTAGCAGCCATTAAAAAAAAAGGATTCTGGGTGGTACAGCTGGAGACGGGTGATCATGTTTCTGAAGGCTTATCTCTCGACTTAGGAGAGGGGAAAAATGACTCCTCCCTAAAGCAGCCTTCTTCCATACAAGCTGGGACGATCCTGATATGGTCATTTGCAATGCACGAGGTATGTATTTCTGTAAAAGAGTGAAGAGTATTCCAAGTATGAGCCAAGGACTAAGTTGGGGCAGCTTGACCCTGAGTTACACCAACTTGATTTTGGCCCCTGGCACACAGCTTATGTTCCTCGCTGACGCAACAGCTTGAAAACGCCCCCTTGTGCCTCACCCGTACGTACGTCGCTTTTAAGTCCACCGTCCCGCAATTAAGTCCGTTCGCTTTGGAGGCAACTTTTCCAGCTGCCTTTTTCAGCAAAAACGCCACTCTGGATTGTACGTTCAAAACCGGACAAGGGGGAATAAAACCTGCGACGAGCAGCCGCTTGAGACAAAGCGGAGTCCCTCGAAGCATCCGTGCTGTGCTCGGTTCATTTCTCTCCAGGAGGGTTTTGAGTGACGTCAGTTTCGAAAAAAAATAAATGGGCAAACATTCAGTCCTCAAAATAATCAGCAGCAATCAAGTAAGGTTTTCCCTGCCCTGCATCCAACCCGCAACTGCAATGCCTTCTCCGACACACAACCCCTTTTTCTTGGCAACACGGGCGTCTCATTTTAAGTGGTTGTGCAGAGCCATTGAAAAAGAAGTAGACCAAACTAATAACTCAGCCTCATGCGAGTAACTGTTACAACCGAAAGCGGATGTGCAGGAATAGAGTCGTCAGCCCCTGAGAGCCAAAACTCAGGGTGGAATCCTGTAATGCTCCGGGGTGTGTGTGTGTGTGTGTGTTCCCACGCACCTGCCCCCCCACCTCTCATCGCCCCTTATCTTTCTTGATCACAGGGATGAGACGGAAACTTGGCCAAGACATGTGGCTCATTTGCATTGGGCTCCTTGTTCATGGGAAATCCAGTCCTGGACAGCTAGTGTTGTGGCCTTGATGAAATCCCAGGGACAAGGGGACTGTCCAGCACATGGTCAGCAGCTAACGTGGTCTCTGAAAGGAAGCCTCGATCTCTTCCAGGCTTTTCCCCCTTGTTTCGGGAACGAAGAAGATCGTGAAGAGGACGTTCAGGAGACACATGGCAGAGAAGAGCCAGAAAGTACCGTAAGGCGTGAGGAGGACCTACACGTGAAAGAGAGCCTCGGATTAGGAAACTGAGGCAACGTCAGAAGAGCTTTGCTGGATCAGGGCAAGGGCCCAACTAGTCCAGCCCCACCAGATGCCTTTGAGAGCACATGGGACCACGAGATGCCTGTCTCCTGATCCCGCTCCCCTGCATCTGGCCAGAGCACACCAAAGCCGCTACAGGGGTGATATAGTTTTCAAAGGCTTTTCCCCCTTGTTTCGGGAACGAAGAAGATCGTGAAGAGGACGTTCAGGAGACACATGGCAGAGAAGAGCCAGAAAGTACCGTAAGGCGTGAGGAGGACCTACACGTGAAAGAGAGCCTCGGATTAGGAAACCGAGGCAACGTCAGAAGAGCTTTGCTGGATCAAGGCAAGGGCCCAACTAGTCCAGCCCCACCAGATGCCTCTGGGAGCACACGGGACCACAAGATGCCTGTCTCCTGATCCCGCTCCACTGCATCTGGCCAAAGCACACCAAAGCCACTACAGGGGTTATATAGTTTTCATCCTTGCCTCTGCTTCGGAAGGTAGAACCGTGTTTTCACATCCATATAAAACATGGAGGTCTTCCTCCCAAACCAAGGCAAGGCGAAGCCTGTGGGTTGCAGGAAGAGAGGATAGTTAACCAATTGGACACAGGCATGCGAAAGGACAAGATGCCATGGCTGTGGGAAGGGGGAACTAGTTCCAGATGCTTCTCGGAAGGGGTCGGCATTTAAAGCTTTGGCAAATGGGATCGGTCCCAGAAAGATGGGGAGAGAAAGGGAGAGGAAGATGAGGAAGGAAGGATCTGATGATAGATGGAGGGAAGGAAGGAGCTGAGGAAAGGATCTAATGTGGGTGGGTCGGTGGTAGGGAGGGAGGAAGTGGGGAAGGAAGGAAAGGAACGGAGGAAGGGAGGACTCTGCTTCTGCTCCAGCATTACCTATGGAAGAGAGGATAGTTAACCAATTGGACACGGGCATGCGAAAGGACAAGATGGCATGGCCATGGGGAGGGGGAACTAGTTTCAGATGCTTCTCGGAAGGGGTAGGCATTTAAAGCTTTGGTAAATGGGATCCGTCCCAGAAAGATGGGGAGGGAAGGGGAGAGGAAGATGAGGAAGGAAGGAAGGAAGGATCTGGTGATGGAGGGAGGGAAGGAAGGAGCTGAGGAAAGAAGGATCTAATGAGGAAGGAAAGAAGGAAGGAAGGAAGGAAGGAAAGGGAATGGAAAGACGGACGGACTGACTCTGCTTACTTCTGCTTCATCACTACTTACGACTAGTTCCAGCTTTTGTGCACATACGTTTTGCACAAATTGAGGAAACCACATAGAACAAAATTGAATCAGAGAGGTTCAAGAGGAGTGGGCCTATGGACAGCGTCTTTTTTCACGCCCTGTTCTGTGACTTAGGACTTCACTAACCCATGATGAAGAAACACAGACTCAACACCGCGAGCCACGCCAGGTTGTGTTCCTCGCCCGCGAACGCAATGCCCAGAGGGGAGTTCTGGAAGTTATTGTGGGAGGTACTGCCGAAATTTGGGAGTGCCATTTTGAAATACATTCCAAACACCGCAGCGCTGGCCGCCATGATGAATCCTGAGAAAGAAGAGAGAGAGTGTGTGTGTGAGAGAGATTGACACAGACAGATATTCACCTAAACACAAGTTCCAAACACCGCAGCGCTGGCCGCCATGATAAATCCTGAGAAAGGAGAGAGAGTGTGTGTGAGAGAGATTGACACAAACAGATATTCACCTACACACAAGAGAAAATGAACACTCCTGTTTGCATTGTTTTGAAAAACTCAAAAAGATGGGTAACTGAACCTAACAATTTTGATCGCATTCTCCGTTTGCCCAGTCTTCCATTCACTTCACCCCACCTCTGCTTTCATCCATGACTTCTTAAAAAAAAAAAAGAAATTATAACTTTGTGGGTCTTCCTCCTATAATATACAGTTTTATACATGGTGTTTTTGGACAGAGAGCTGCAAGACAAGATTCAGAAAAAGTGCCGATGATAAAGCATAACTGAAGTGCGTCGTGCGGATCCATTCAGAAAGTGTAAATTTGCTAAGTATATTTCCACTATTCTTAAGATCTGCATGTTAAGTGAGGCCCCAAATCCCATGCTCTGTACCAGACAGCTAGTTTTCAGCCATACCTGAGATGATCAGAAGGATTCTCCTCCCTGTTTTATCAATCACCAGAGCCGCAGTTGCTGTAAAAACGACCTGGACAGACCCCACAATGACCGATGCAGCACCACTATCCTGAAAAGCAAACGGCGACAGAACAGGAGAAAGTCCATGGAGTGTTTTTTGAACTCCTGGGGAAAACCATACAAAAACCAATGTTTTAAACCAATGTTCACGTTTAATTCTGTTTCTGTGCACGCTCCCAGATAAACATTAAATGGAACTTCATTATCGGTTTATTCTACACAAAGATAAGGAGCCTGGTGGTGCAGTGGCTAAGCTGTAGTGTTGCCGTCAACAGTCTGCGCACGGCCAGCATTTGATCCCAGCGGATTCTGGCAGCCGGCTTAAGGGGGACCTGGCCTTCCATCCTTGCAAAGAAAGTAAAGTACCCAGCTCACTGGGAGGGCAATGTGTACCCTGTAAAATTAAATTGTAAACTGCCCAGAGAGTGCTTTAATGTTGTTTCAGGTTTTTTTGGGGGGGTGGCTTTTTTAAATTCTGAAATCATTCCCACTGCATGCAGTCATCTGATGGGGCTTCCCACTGCATTCCATGGGAGCCCCATCAGATTAAAATTAAAAACTAACAACACAGTGGAAGTTAAACAAACGCACATGGTGTAGCGGTGTTGTTTCTCAGTTCCTGTCCAAAGCGAAGGACAGAATATTATTATAATCTTTCTCTCTTATGAAATCACAGACTTGGAAGGGATCTCCAAGGTCCAGCCCCCAGCGAATGCAGGAAATCCACCCTAATCATCTCCCCTGAAAGGCACATGTTTTTTTTTTCTGCCTGGGAATCTCTTAACACGCGACAATCTGCCGCCTTCCACTGTCGCCTGTTTCGTTGCTGAACAGCCTGTACTCTCAGGAAGACTTGCGTAATGTTTAGTCAAAAACCTCTTTCTTGGAATTAGAACCCACTGGCTCAAAGCCCTCCATTCTGGAGCAAGAGAGAAAACAGGATTTCCCATCGCTTCCATCTAAACTGTCTCTAAGCTAAACATGATCATGTTCCCTCAAGGATTCAGTTTCCAGACCTTTCGCTAACTTTTGCCAGCTTTCTCCAAATGGAAGAATGCAGGATTTTGTGAACGTCATTTGAGCACAAAACACGCACAGCCGGTCACCACTAAATCAGTGAGATTTATACTTGCCGCCAGGTCTGCGTAGTGGAACGCTCAAGCATCAGAGCGAGGAAGGAGAAAAGCAGAGGGTTCAAGAGAACTGACCGGTCTTCTCTGCAATAAGACCCTCCAGACCTCTCTTAACTCCAAGCCTTTCACCCCTGGGGATGATGGGGTCTGTAAGTCAGACCCCTCTCAGAGAGGAGGACGAGAAAAAGACCATCTGCCGCCAGCAGTGTACCTTGAAGCTGGCCACTTCAAATATGGTTTCCGCGTAGAACATTATGGCGTTGATTCCAGAGACTTGCTGGAAGAACATCATGGTGATGCCAATGAAGAAGGGCTTGTAAATGGCCGGGTTCTTGAATTCGGCAATGCTCAGCGTCTCCTGCAGAGAGAAACCCCAACATTTTAAGAATGAGCAGTAGTCCTTCATAGGGTAGCTCTGCTTCCTGGATTCCACGTGGCCCCTCTTTGGGAAACAAGGGAGGGGGGGCCTCTTTTCACTGAGTTTTCTCACTGGGACAGCCCCGATCCCTGCTCACATCCAGGGAGGTTGCCAAGAGATATGTGGAGAAGAAAGGGCCAGGATTTACGTTGGTCATTGCTGCGTCCCAATTTGGATAGGGTGGGGGAAACCACGTACATCGCCTTGCGCGCGCGGCCAGAAATGGGGACGAAAGTGTAAATAAACAACGACAGTGATGAACAAACACGCGTTGTTGACCTGTTCGTCGGCATTGGCCTCGATCTCCCTGCATTCCCATCCGTGGTCCACCAGGGGGCCCCGCAGGAACTGGAGCGCCTCCATCGCTTCCCCCGGCTGGTTGCGACTCAGCAGGTAACGAGGCGTCTCCGGCATGAACGCCATGAGCCCCAGCATGAAGCATGGCGGGAGGGAGCAGAAGACCGCCAGCCAGCGCCACCCCAATGCCATGCCTGGTAGGGAGGAACACATTAGAACAAACAAACCGTTTGACCTTGAAGTCCAACCTGGTACTCAAAAGCAATCAATCATCAAGGAGGTTGGGCATGTTTTGGGACCTCCAGGAGTTCTAGATGATGACTCTCAGATCCCAGAATGGTGGCCAGGAGCCACGATGCACCACGAGTCGCAGCCTGAAACAGATGGCCGGGCACCAACCAGCCTCTCAAGAAGAACAGCATCCTTCATGGGCAGCCAACTTTCATTTAGAGGTCTTCAAGCGAAAGAGGGTACCACCAGAGCCCATCCAGCTCTCCAGATCCTTGACCGTTGGTCATCACAGCAGGGGGTTAGGGAGTTGAAAACCACCCCCACCCCCAACATATGGAGGGCCAAAGGCTGAGAATCGCTGCTCCAGAGAAACAGAGCATCCCAAAGACCACAAGCATCCTACGTACCTGCCATGTAGGCTCCCAAGATGCCCGTCACCACCATGAGTTGGACGCAGGACCCCAGCCTCCCGCGAACTTTGGAGTGAGCGATTTCAGAAATGTATACCTGATGCACAGAGAGTTCGAACCATCCATTGAGGCACACACACACAAAAAATATCTTTTTTTAAAATTGACTCTTAAGGCTGCATCTACGCTACCTAGACATAGCAGCCCAATGCCACTTTAAGGGTCGCAGTGGAATCCTGGGAACTGTAGTTTGCAGAAGAGCTGAGAATTCTCTCCTGGGGTTCAAGATCATGTGCTGGAGCTCCCGAGCACAGAATTCGAACCCTCCCACTGCACACCTTTGTGTTCTGTGCATGCTCGGGTTTTTTTATTGGCAAGATTTAAGATAAGAAGGCATTAAAAACCCATTTTTTCCTTGAAGCTGTGTTGTTCCATGGAGTTTCCTAGGCCTGGGACGATCCGCGGGATTTAAGCTCAGCCCTCCGCTTCCACGTGGGGAGAACTCACAGCTCAGCTGCAGAGCCTTAGCTTTGCATGCAGGAGGTTTTTGCTTCAAAGGCCAGCAAGCAGTGCGATTCAAAAACAGGCGCGCCACTTACGGCCCTCCGCCTCCGAAGAACAGGGGCTGTGCTTAGTAAGAGTGAAGCCTAGAAAACATCTGTAAGTGGCCTAGCCCTGAATCAAAAGGATTAGGTAGTGAAAGCCCCATCATTCTGCCCCGATATTTCACTACTAGCCAGGACAGGAAGTCACTTACCGGGACGACTAAGGACGTGACGCCACTGGCCAAGCCACTCAGCAGCCGGCCCAGGTAAAGCATCCAGACATTCTGAGCAGAAATGATGACCGTGAATCCTAGAACGTACGGGACCGCGCAGAACATCAGGCTAAGCTTCCGGCCGACTTTGTCCACGACGTATCCGCCCAGAATCCCGCCAGCTGCAGCCCCCAGAGTTACTATAGACTGGGCCCCAAAATGAAAAGAAAAGAGGGCATTAAGGAAGGAACGGTCCACAAGAAAGCAGCTACTAAGAGGGAGAGATTGGGGGAAACCGGAGATTCAAAATACCCCCCACGGACCCCTGTGGACTGGCAATCTGGTAGAAACTGCAAACTCCTTGGGGCAGAGATCTGTCGGTTTTGCTTGCAAATGCCAATAGAACGGTGTAACGTGAGGGTGGCAAGTTCTCCCAGTTGGAAGGCTAAAATAAAGTTCAGATACATTGTTGAGAGGCATCACATTTCAGGATTAGAGTTGCGAGGATTGACATGTCAGCTTAAAGCACTTACTACCAGTAACTATGGGACGTGGTGACGCAGCGGGTTAAGCCGCAGAAGCCTCCGGGCTGCAAGATCAGAAGGCCAGCCATCGTAAGATTGAATCCATGCAACGGAGGGAGCTCCCGTCGCTTGTCCCAGCTTCTGCCAACGTAGCAGTCCGAAAGCATGTAAGAAGGCGAGTAGATAAATAGGGACCACCTCGGTGGGAAGGTCATGGCGTTCTGTGTCTAGTCGCCCTGGCCACGTGACCACGGAAACTGTCATCAGACAAACGCTGGCTCTACAGTTTGAAGATGGGGATGAGCACCCCACCCTAGAGTCGGAAACAACTGGGCTAAATGTCAAGGGGAACCTTACCTACCAGTAATATTAGGAGAGACGTTGCAACCATTTGAGAATGGAGAAAAATCCATAAAAGCACCAAGCCATGACACCAAGAAGAAGCGGGGGCTGCACTCTTGGGAAGCGCCAGAGTTTCCCCACCCTCAGCTTAATGCTTTATTACAGGTCAAGTTCACTCATATTCCGAAGACTTTCAGGCACCTGATTCTTTTGAGCAGTGGCTTACCCCAAACCATGAAGCTTGGCTATCGTCCAGCCTTAATTCCGGATTGCCGCTTCTCTTTAGGCTCGGAATGGCCGGCGAGCTGTAGCCCAGGGCGAACCCGAAGCTTAGGGGGCCCAGGACGGCCGCAAACGTGGCCAGGTAGAGGTTCCGGTTTTGAACCTTTCTGTGAAAGAAGCAAAATCACTTTTAAAAAAAATAGTTGGCAACACAACACTGGAGGGAGAGACCAAGACTCCCCACACCTAGGCTTACTTATTGGGGGGGGGCAACCTAAAAATAAATAATTCAAACAAGTAAATAAACATCTTTTAGTTTCAGATCATGAGCATAACCACAGGAGCAGAGGGACCAGTATCCTGTAACACGCTCTCAGCCATCTCTCTCCCCTTAAGGTACTTTTGAAGTCACTTCGCTGAAAAAAAATACTTGAATATTTTAAATATACAGAGGTTTATATTCTGCCCGTGTTCAGCTTCTGGAAAGTCCCCATTGTTGACATCCGATTTTTTTTAACCATGGGGTAAAAAGTGAAACTTTCATAGGGGAAGGGGAGACTTTGGCTCCCATCATCCTGTAGCTGGGCTGGCGATGGCAGGCTTCTGGGCATCGTAGTCCAAAAATAACATACTCTTTGCCCTGTCTAGACAGCAACAGGGACGTCCTCTATCTCAGATGCTAGAAAGTGATGATCCGTTCAACGTTGATGGATCAGACAGCCTTGGGCCAGCGCAGGCGACCATGGGCGAGGCAGGTAAGGGCTCGGTTTTCCTTGCTTGCGCTGTTAAGACACACATCCCTAAGATGGGGCCTTCCGGTTCTGGTCTTGGCCATGCTAGCTGGGGACACTGGGTGTTGTAGTCCACATCGGGAGGGTACCGGGTTGGTAAATAACAAAATCTTAGAACTGCAGAGGGACCCTGTAGAATTATCCAGTCCAGCCCCCATCCGGGAGGCCCAGTGGAGGAATCGAACTCCCAACTTCTGGCTCTGCAGCCACAGATTTAAGCCACCGAGCCCTCCAGAAGGTCAAGCGGCAGAAAGGGACACCTACTTAAGGACACACAACAACAAGATGCTGGAAGGGGTGGTGGTATAAGGAAAATGGGGCCAGGAGAATGCCGATCTGTTGGGGCTGTTATCTTAAAATTGTCCCTGCTTTGTGAAGCCGATTCAATAATTAACCAGGACTCACTTCTGGGTCGAAACATCGCTTGTTTATACAAGGACGCGTGATCTCGACCACGGGGAAACGAGGAGTACAAGAGTAGAAGCCATCTGGAGGCCCAGGCATGAAAGGGTTAGAGGTCAGGACTGAGGTGGGAGGAGATCTGTCTTCGAGACCCTACGAAGTTTTGAAACTCACTGGGGGGCTCAGGCCGGTCATGTTTCCCCCCCCGTCTCAGTCTGTCCTACCTCGCAGGACTGTTGTGAGAGTGATGGTGGGTACTCAAGAGAGCTGGATTTGAGCTCACCGCCCCCCCCCCGGTCTCAGTCTGTCCTACCTCGCAGGACCGTTGTGAGAATGATCGTGGGTACTCAGGAGAGCTGGGTTTGAGCTCACTGGAGGCAAGGGCGGCTATAAACACAACAAGCAAAAATAAATGATATATTTGAGGATAGGGGGGGGAATGGCAATATAATCTGCAGAGGAGAGCAACTGAGTTCCGAGGGCCTCGGAGACGCTTAACCGGGCTCTCCGGGTTGCGATGGGGAACTCTGTGAAAATAAAGCCCGTCTTGTTGTTCTGCAAACAGCTGGATGCAGCTAAAGGGCAAAAAGCGCCGGGAGAGGGGCTGTTTGGCTTCTGAGAAATAACGCAAAGGCCAGGTTCTCTTTCTGTTTATCCCGGATCGGGCAAAAAACCCGAACCTTCCTGGTCCAGAGATAGTTGGCTCAAGAGAGTGCATGCGGTCGGAACGCTAACAAGATTGTCCTCTCAAAATGTTTACTGAGAAACCGAAATGGGTAAGGGAGGAGCTGGAGAGAAGGCCCAGTTCATTAAAAGTCCCGAGAAGGCCAATAAACCTTAATTATGGATCTTAACGCTTTCCAGATCTTATGTGCCAATGAGGGACTGTAGGTGTCAAAGTCTTGATTTATTATGCATTGATTTAAAAAACAACAACACATTTTTGGTGCAATCCAGCTGTTCATTCAAGAAGCTCTAGGCACCAATGCCAGGCCTTCCGGTAGAGCCTCACAACAAGCCTGCAAGGTAGATCACAGTCAAGAGTCAGCAACTGGCCCACGGCGGGGTTTACGGGTAAGCAAGAATAAGAAGCCATCCCTCTCTGCCTCTCTGACCCCAATACCAAGATGGGGTGGGGGTATGAGACTTTCCAAAGTCCAAGGTCTGCCTATGCAGATTCCTATTGAACCAACATAATTACTTTTTTAACCAAAGAAGACCCCTCGCTGTTTCTTTTGACGACATGGAGCAAGCTTATCATGGGTCCTTAAGGCATTTTAATTGACAACATTCCTCAACACCCTCTGACATGGCCAACAGGAAAGAATGGCGGGAGCTCTTTCCTCCAAAAACATTTGGAGCGTTAAAGGTTCTCTGTGCCTGGCAGAGGACAACGATAAAGAGGCCACGTACCCTGAGAATACGTAGCTGACCTTCCCGGGAGTCTTAAAATATTCAGTCACAAAGGAGGGTGCCTGTTGCCCCTCCAATCAGCCTCCGATTCTGCCTCACTGCCATGTCTGTGCTTCTGTCAGCATCATTCAGAGCAGCCGTTGCCGACAAGCGTTCTCAAGATACTACTTGACTACGTATCCCATCATCTCCCAGCAGCAGAGTCAACGAAGATGTTAAGGCTTGTAGTTGAGCAATATTTAGGGATCTGAGGTTGAGAAAGGCTACTTAGAGTGCCAGATTAAGACTGGATAAGTTCCAGGTTCAAACTCCCAGTCTTAGAGGCACTCACTTCCTCTCTGCCTAGGCTACCTCGCAAGGTTGTTGGCTGAAAAGTCGGTGAAGCAAACAAACCAATGTAATCCCAAAACTCTGCAGATCTTCTTTACACATACAGAGAATTCAGCACCCACCACCACCAAGAAACCCTTTGAAGAAAAACATGCATACACCTATACACACCTGAGATAATCTTCCACTTGGGAGCGTCTCTCGCTGCTAGGCAATTCTGCCTCCGCCGCAGTGGGGCTCAAAAGAGGCCTGGACTCCTCAGAAGCCATCTTCCTCCGAAAGGAGAGTAATCCTGCTTCAGTGCTTATCACTGAGTCGATTTAGTTCTAAGACCTGAGCACAATTTTAAGAAGGAAAAAAAAAAAAGGAAAATCAGAAAACAGGAAGATGCAAAACCAAGTCTCATGACCTCAGACACTGGAGCAGCTTCAGCCTCCAGCGGTAGGCTTCACTTTCAAAAGGAAACATTTAAAGAAAAATCAGCTGGAGAATTCAAGAATAAACACAAAGACGTAATAGTATTAAGAGGGGGGGGGTAACCAGAAACAAAGATCCCAATTGTTTGATTTGAGGGGGGGGCAGTGAAAAGGTTCCCAAGAAATAAGGATGGGTTGGGTTTGATGCGCTTTTAGTGTTTGAGGGGGGGGCAGTGAAAAGGTTCCCAATAAGTAAGGATGGGTTGAGTTTGATGTGCTTTTAGTGTTTAAATTGAAAGAGACACACAGGTAAGCGCCTGCACGCCCCTCATAAAGCAGAAGGGGGAAAAGAGAACAAGGGTCTCATGACCTCATTCAGTCCTACGGCTTCCCCATATATGGAGCGGCGTCGGCAGTAGCTTATCAAAAAAATTAATTAGCATTGTCAAGCTGGAAACAATACAGATAAGAGAAACTCGAACCGCCAAGGGGGTGAAATGCTTCCTTTCGGGGTAAAGCTAGTGGGTTTCTGGATTTTTCGTGTGTGGCAAAAAAAAAAAAAATGCACAAAGACAACGGGAACAGGGAGGGAATTTGATAAGAGTTTGACAAAAGGATACTGTTTGCAGAATGTAGATATAGAGCCCAGATCTTGGAAAAGTAACTGAATTACGATTGCGGCGGTCATGGGGACTGGAGAATTTTGCTGTCAATGAAATTAACCAGGACAGGTAATACCCCGTATTTTTCACGCCATAAGACAGACTTTTTCCCCACAAAACGGGGGGGGGGTAGAAAGTCTGTGCGTCTTATGGAGCGAAGAAAACAGATTATATTTTCCTGTTTTCTTCTCCTAAAAAATTGGTGCATCTTATGGAGCGAAAAATACGGTATATTTAGACTATTTGCCTTTCTCTACTGCTTGCAGGTTCGCAGTTCTTCTGTAGCTTCAAGGTGGGGGGAAAAAACTTAATTGTTGCTCCCAGGATGATTTATGTTTTAAATACGTTACGCCCCATTTAACACAAACACACACACACAATTCATTCTGAATCACACCTTTTTCGAAACTGGAGATGGCTTTCTAGCCACTGGCATATTTGCAAAGTTTTTTTTGGGTGTGTGTGTGTGCTTTCTTAGCAAAGTGTGTGCCCCTCAGAGAGTCTAAGGGCAGAAAATTAGCACCCGCCCCTGCCACACTGGATCATTCGCGGGATCATCTATAATAAACCTTATTAGGAAGATTCCTTTCCCGTTTGTGCACGCCGTGGGCGTTTTGGATGCCCAGCTGTGGCTGAGGAAGTGCCCTAAAAAGAGCACCATTTGATCCAGCTCTTAGTATTCAAGAATTGTCTGAACAGTACCTCCATTGCACCTCTAAATCCCACAGAAATTCTTAGGAGCCGAGACAGCCTCGTGGTGGTTTAAACGTTAACAAAGTTCATTCAGCAGTAGCTTTTATATCGCTTGTGTAAATAAGATGATTTATCTCCCGGTGCCATAAAATGCACTGTGCCAATTTCACTACCATTGACTAGGTAGTTAAGTCATATTGCAGGAATTGTATAAATACTGTACACTCTTGATGCTAGGGGAATATCAACTTTTTAACAAGATTCTGGACCAGTGGCCCCTCCATCCGGGGTCCCCAGGCATTCAGGGACTAAAACTCCCAGAAGCCTTCACTACTAGCTGTGCTGGCCAGGATTTCTGGGAGTTGTAGTCCAAGAACATCTGGGGTTGTTCTAGACCAAGGCTGGTGGGCTTGTTCAGTGATTTAGGGACCTGTCTGTGGAGCCAGAGGTTGGGAGTTTCAATTCCCCACTGGACCTCCCCATAGAAGAGCCAGTCTAGGTAGCCTTGGGCAAGCTGGACAGTAGTTCCAGGGCACCCCAGAAGAAGGGAAGGTTAAACCTCCTTTCTGAGCACTCGCTACCTAGAAAACCTTGCAGAGCCTGAACTGACGTGGCAACACAGACAAATTATTAGACATACTATATATATTTTTTTAGCTTGGAAGGCTCCATGTTTTCTGGGACGGACAAGGACACACAAACACCGATCTGGCCACTATCTCCAGTGAGATCCCTGTCTACTCACTAGTAGTGCTATAAGCGGTGAGTCAACAGCAATTTGACTCACCAACAGCAGATAACATCACACCCCTTCCAAGTAAGATCTCGTAGCTCTCGACCCACATGATGTTGCGTCACATCCAAGCCATTCCTCCCAACCCTTTTCAAACAAAATCCTCCCCCTGCCTGTTTACTTTTGCTCAATTATTCCACTCAGAACTATGAGCTGTAACTAGCTAGATTTTCCATTCTGCATTATGTGGCTGAATGATTCCAAGTTCTCGTCTTTTTGGAGTTATTTTTTTTAAATCTCCATTCATTCTCCTTAGTATTTCCTCACTGCTTCCACTTCCAGTTCAAACAATCCTCAAAATTCACCGATTAATCCATATTTCAAATGGCTTCTAAAGTTCTTAACAGCTTCTTGTGCTTCCAAGATGCTGTTACATCAACCTGATGAATCGCTAACCTTTAAAAACTCTTAATCATGAACCACCCTGTCCAAGTCTTGCAAACGAAAGTCTGTGGTTCCTTTACTGAGCCATTCCGTCTCACGCTCAGCGTTCCTCTCCTCCCACTGCCATCAACTTTTCCGAGCATTATTGCTCGGAAATACATTATTGCTTTCCCCACTGAATCACTGATTCTCTCTATTTGATTTATTTTGTATGCTCTCCATCTTGCAGAATTCTTTAATTGTGTAATAATTTTTTTCTAATACTTGTTATGTATTTTTATGTTGTAAGCCGCCTAGAGTGGTCACAATGACCAGATAGGCGGGGTATAAATAGAATAATAAATAAATAAATAAATAAATGTCATAATATGGCCAAAATTCACATGTTAAAATCCAAAACAATGGCCATCATCATCTTCCTTGGTATTCTATCTCAATCTAACCTTTCCCACCCCGAATGAGATATTTAATTTTGAGGTGGTAGGGGTGAATTCCTGGCTTTTGACCTCACACTGCTAGGAAACACACACACACACAAACAACTGTTACCACTCAGACGATTAGCAGCCAAACTGAGCTAGCCTTAGCAAACAGCTAAGGAAAAATGCAAAATAAGCAAAAATTAGGGGAGAAAATGAATGACTACCTCGACATAACACGAGCAAAACCCGGAGGGCTTCTCAACCGCCACGAATTCGTCTTTCTCCGCTCTTTTAAAACCTCTTTTAAATCCCAGACTCTGCTTTTTCTCCGCCCCCAAAAGAAACCTCCCGAAACAGCTGCAAAGAGGAACTAAAAATGCAGTTACAGTTCCCGCACGGACCGAAAAACAAGAACGGACCCAAAGGTGCGCTGGTTAAAATGGACCCCCACAGAGGGGGATTTCCTAAAGTTAACCTACAAGGATGATAACGCTCTACTTTTTTTCTATCTCTATAAACCTTGGGGGAAAGAGGGCGTTTCCGGAAAGGTGAGGAAGTGGTGGCGGGGAAGGGAGAAGGAGAGCGAGAGAGCGGAAGGAAGGGGCCCGGAAGTGACGTCAGGTGCTGGCGCCGGAAGTGCCTGCGGTAGAGCTTTTTGCTGGGACCTGGAGGCAGCAGGTGAGACACCCCCCTCCAGCACGGATAGGGGGCGGTAGGGGCCCCCAAAAGAGGGGAAGCAAAGGGGGGGGCGACCATTGCCGGGAGGGGCGTCGGTGGGGGGCGTCAGAGCCGGGAGAGGGGGCAGGACCTCTTTGGGTTGCCATGGAGACGACCCCTAGAGGAAGGGGGCGGGCCTTGGAGGCAGGGAAGGTGGGGGGGTCTGATGGAGGAGGTGTTTGGGAATGAAGGGAGGCCTTCAGGCAGAAGTAAAACAGGTCGAGCTCGAGGAGGGTGGAGGTAGCCTGGGTTTGTGAGTGGTGGGGAGAAGAGGGGGCGTGACATTGCTTGGTTTCCTGTTTTGTTTTTACTCCCTTGGCTTGGGTGGCATAAATACTGTACATTTGGCTTCTCTCCTGCCTACGTTTTCTGCACGACAGCCCTGCGAGGTAGATCAGGCCGAGGGGAGAGGGGCTTGCCAAGCGTCTCCTAGTGAGTGTCATGGCTGAGGAAGGGTGACTCGAGTTTTGGGAGTTCAGTTCCCCCCACTGTGTTGCCTCCTGCGAGGTAGATCAGGCCGAGGGGAGAGGGGCTTGCCAAGCGTCTCCTAGTGAGTGTCATGGCTGAGGAAGGGTGACTCGAGTTTTGGGAGTTCAGTTCCCCCCACTGTGTGCCTCCTGGGAGAAAAGCCATCCCGGGTGGCCTTGGGCCAGCTGCACAGACTCAGAAGAAGGGAAGGGAAAAACCACTTCTGAGTCTTCTCTACCTGGGAAACCCTGGAAAGGGTCACCAAAAGTCAGAAATGACAGCACACAATTAATCAAGCTCTCGTATGGTTGAGTGAGTTGGGATCAATAAGAAAGGACAGTGCGAAATAGTGATATGAACGCACTTTTCAAATATTTGAAAGGCTGTCCTACAGAGAAGGGGCAAGATCTGATCTCGATCATCCCAGAGTGCAGGACACGCAATAATGGGCTCAAGTTAAAGGAAGCCAGATTTCGGTTGAATAGCAGGAAAAACTTCCTAACTGTTAGAGCAGTATGACAGCGGGACCAGTTACCTCGGGAGTTGGTGAGTGCTCCAACACTGGGGGCATTCAAGAGAAAGTTAGATACAGGTGAGCACTCCAACACTGGGGGCATTCAAGGAAAGCAGATTTGCTTTGATTGTATTCCTGCGTTGAGCAGGGGGTTGGACTTGATGGCCTTGTAGACCCCCTTCCAACTTCACGTTTCTATGATCTGAAGTGCCTTCAGCCTGTCTCATGTGTTTTTGAAACTTCACTTTTCTATGATTCTATGATCTGAAGTGCCTTCAGTCTGTCTTCTGTGTTTTCATTACAGGAGAAATGGCCACAGAGGAATTGCAACCCCTCTTGGGTTCTAAGGAGCAAGACGGACACTGGCAGTTACCTGCTGAGCAGCATTCGAACACAGACCATTATTTAAGGTAAGTGTGTTCTTTTTTCCCCACCTGGTTCTGATACCCAGAGAACAGTTTGTATGGGCAGGAGGGGGTCAAGTCGAAAAGAGCCAGTGTCCCACTTTGCCCATTTCCTCTTCTGCAAAATGAAGTCTTTCACCCACTTATAAAGAGGACAGATCACTCTAAAGGCCTCCCAACTCCATAAATCTCATTAGTATGTCCCACAGCAATAAGCATTTTGTGCAGGTGGCACACTGTGAAAAATCAGTTCAGGCATGTGTTTTAGCTGCTGAATTCTACAGAGTTTCTTTAAAGTTGAAAATCCCAGTGAACATGAGGACTAACAACTTGTGTTATTCCATAGCTGGAGGGAGATTCCTGGGTTTCCAAAAAGACCTCAGGATTTTTTGTACTGAACTACAGAGCTTTTTCGTTGTCTGTTTTTGGTTTTAAATATTTGCCCTGCAATTGTATTGATTTTAAAAAAATGCTGTTGATGTTTGATTCTGGCTGGAACTAATGCTGTGTTTTGATGCACCGCAGGTAAATGTGTCCATAACCTTATGGAGAGAAAGGACTTTGAAGCATGGCTTGATCGTATTTCTGTTACGTTTCTCTCTCTGACGGACTTGCAGAAGAATGAGACGCTGGACCATCTGATCGGCTTGAGCGGGGCGGCCCAGCTGAGGCATCTCTCCAGTCACCTGGAAACGCTCCTCAAGCGGGATTTCCTCAAACTGCTCCCGCTGGAACTCAGCTTCTATTTGTTAAAATGGCTCGACCCTCAGACCTTACTCACGTGTTGCCTCGTCTCGAAACAATGGAACAAGGTCATCAGTGCCTGCATGGAAGTCTGGCAGACGGCGTGTAAGAACCTGGGCTGGCAGATCGACGACGCGGTCCAGGATGCGTTGCACTGGAAGAAAGTCTACTTGAAGGCCATCTTAAGGATGAAGCAGCTGGAGGACCACGAAGCCTTTGAGACCTCGTCCCTGATCGGGCACAGCGCCAGGGTGTATGCACTTTACTACAAAGATGGACTTCTCTGTACAGGTAGGAGCCAACGTCTGGAGATCCGTCCCTGGGACGATCGCAGGGAGCAGAGTGAGGCCCTTCTGGTTCCAGAAGCTCAAGAGGGCCGTGCTGAGTTAGGACTTGGAAAGGAGTCCGACTGAGGTTCTGAAAGAGTTCAGGGGTACAGTTCTTGAGTTGCGTGCATAAGGTAATCTGGTTCGCAGTCGCATTTTTGCTGCCTAGCAAACTGTTTTTCCCCCTGGGTCTCATCTTTTGGGAGTATGAGACTAGGGGCAGAATTCTGACACCTTCCCTCCAAAATCAGCTTTTCATGCCTTTGTGAATCTCATCCTTTAGCCCACCGGCTGCTCTTAGCTGTCAGAACCCCTGGCTGTTCCACGGTAGTTGGATCTTCTAGAAATCGAATCCCTACCTGAAGCGGGAGGGGGTAGCTTAGTGGTTGAGGTCTCTGGCTAGGGAGCCAGCGATTTTGGAGTTTGATTCTCCCTCCCCCCTACACACACACACTGGGCCTCCTGAGAGAAAAGCCAGCCTGCGTAGCCTGGGGCAAGCTGCATCGTCCCTGGGTGGCCCTAGAAGAACAGACGGGCCGGCCACTTTTGAGTACTCTCTACCTGCAAAGCCCTGGAAAGGGTTGCCAGGTCAGAACTGACTTAACACCACACAATTTGTGAATTAAACATCTGAAGGTTGGGAACTAGTGCATTCCTGCATTGATTAAAAACCCTCTTATTTTGCAGCAGCAGAAAAATGCCAGTACTCCTTGAAATGGTCTCTGTTCTTTCTGATTCTTCTTCCCCACCCTCTTCTTCCTCACCATTCAGGCTGCCGGCGGGGGGTGGGGGACATGTTCCTTGTTTGCCCCATGAGGTTGGATGGTCCAGTTGGCCGTTAGTTAGGAGGGACCCAAATGCCCAACCTTTGGGGAGGGTTGCCGGCTGCATCTCTGCATCAGCCCCTGATCTGGGCAGTCCTCTTGATCAGAGGGAGACAAGCCTGCAACTGTGAACTCCTACAGAAACACCACAGACACCCTCCTGTGTGGAATACTGGGAACGGTACAGGTTTACATCATGTAAAAATGCATTGTTTTGGCTGTTAGCAGAGGGACATGGAGAGATTTAACGCAGAGGAGCCCCTTAGGTGGGCAGTTTTAGGCCAGATGTAACATGAACGCCGATCTTGGAATGCCGCTGGTCTGTGGGTCAGGTTTGGCCTTGCAGCTGTCCCACGCCCCACCCGTTGACCGCCTCCATCTTTACTTCCTCCTCGGCCGCAGGTTCGGACGACTTGTCTGCCAAGCTGTGGGATGTGAGCACCGGGCAGTGCATCTACGGGATCCAGACCCACACCTGCGCCGCGGTGAAGTTCGACGAGCAGAAGCTCGTGACGGGCTCTTTCGACAACACGGTTGCCTGCTGGGAGTGGAGTTCGGGGGCCAAAACCCAGCACTTCCGAGGCCACACGGGAGCAGGTGGGTTGGGAATTCTCTAAAGGAAAGGGTGGAAACCTTTTGGGCTCCGTCGAGCGATGCCCAGATGAGGCTCATCCTTAGTCCCACAACGTCCCTACTTTCCATGGCAAACAGCTTCATCCCTGAGGAAGATGAGGCTCATCCTTAGTCCCACAACGTTCCTACTTTCCATGGCAAACATCTTCATCCCTAAGGATCCTCTAGTCCTTCCAGATGTTGTTGGACTTCAGTTGCCATCAGTCTCAGCCTATTTGCGAATAGGTTTTCCAACAGCTGATGTGGGGCTGTGAACCGCCCTTCCCAGCTCAGATGTTGTTGGACTTCAGTTCCCATCAGTCTTAGCCAGCCCAGCCTATTTGCGAATAGGCTTTCCAACAGCTGCTGTGGGGCTGTGAACCGCCCCTCCCAGCCGCCTCCTGCTTCCATTGAGAGGGATGGTCTACTTTTTGACCTTTCATCAACCGTGGGCATCCGCTTCTCCTTTCATGCCATGATGAGGTGACTCGTGGCCTTCCCGGTGCCCGACAACAGCTCTTGTCATCATCCCTTCCTCCTGCAGCAGCCACAGCTGGTCAATGTTGCAGCCAGGCAGAACCTGGCGGGCCACCAGCTGCCTATCCTGGCTTCAAACCCTGTATTTGGCCCATGATGGGGCAAGGAATGCTCACATTTTAGAGAAGCCACAGGGAGACAACTGTGGGGTGACTGAAGCACTCCTTGTATACGTACATGGATACATATTCCCACAATGCACATGTTAAAGAATTGTAGGTTTACTTGTGCTGTTGAGTCTAGTTTCATTCATTCATTCATTCATTCATTCATTCATTCATTCATTCATTCATTCATTCAACATCAAGAAGCCCACTCACTTCATAGTCACCCAACTCCCTGGACGATGGCTGAAATCAAGGAAAAGTTTCTGCGCACATTTCTTCTTTCTTTCTTTCTTTCTTTCTTTCTTTCTTTCTTTCTTTCTTTCTTTCATTCATTCATTCATTCATTCATTCATTCATTCATTCATTCATTTATTTATTTGGTTTATACCCCGCCCATCTGGTCAAAAAGACCACTCTAGGTGGCTTTTTGACCAGAAGCTCTGACTGCTTCTGGTCAAAAATAGTCTTAATCGTCTTGACATTTTCATTCATTTTTAATTTTCCCTATATTTCATATAGGCCCATCATTTTACACGGTGCACAGCTCTGATACAAAGAAAGAAAGGGAGACTTAATATATAGTGTACCCCGCCTTTGTCTTTAAGAGAGGACCCAAGGCAGCTTACAATAATGCCATTAAGGGAAATGGAGAGATGCACCACCAGTCTTCCCCCCCCCCAAAAAAAACACCTCCTTTTCTGTCTGTCTCTGCAGTTTTTAGCGTGGATTACAATGACGATCTGGACCTGTTGGTCAGCGGCTCAGCAGATTTCACCGTGAAAGTCTGGGCCTTGTCCACGGGAGTGTGTCTGAATACGCTAACCGGACACACGGAATGGGTCACAAAGGTAAGCCGGGCAAGTTCCCTTTCCCCTGGCCGTGATCTGCTGGTTGCAAATTACTCTTTGTGTTGTCTTGCTAACGGCTTGGACTGCTCCGTGTTGCAGAAGAGCTAGGGGTACATAATAGATGAACTGTATTATGGTGAATAACCCAAACTGTGTTTAATAGTTTTATCTGTTGTGAGCTGATGTGGGTCTCCGATGTGGGGAAAGGCGGTGTATAAACAATATAAATAAGTAAATCAATATTTAGTCTTTGTGCCCACGCTGTGCATTGTTACAAGAGGGCGGGTCTTGGCCTTAGTGGTCTTCCGGTCCAAATTTTGACACAGACAGAACAAATGAGGGAGGATGAGGAAGAGAAACCAGAAGGGGGTAAACAAGAGAGCCATTGGCAGCTGCTTCAGATGCGCATGCGTTGGTTGAATTAGAAGCAGGCAGGAGAAGTCGATTGGAAAAAGGATAGATCCCATTCTGAAATATACACCGTTGAAGCAGCGTTAGATGGAGTCAGACCCGCTCGGGGTGGCTGGGCTGACAGCTTCCAGAATCTCTTGCGCAGATTTCCTGCCTGCCTGAGAACGCCGGAAGAGGAGGAGTCTCTAAACTGCACGGCGGCCCTACAGGAGCGAGACAAAGCTTTATGTTGCAGACATTCACATGCCGTTTTGTGGAGAAGGATGGAGAGGGTGATGCCAAGGTCAAATAAAGAGCTTGAGTTTGAGGGTGGAGATGAAGCAGGCCTCTCCTGCTCTCCTTGGTTTGATTTTAATCACGTGTCATAGTAGAATAGCCAAGTAGGCTGTTTGGATGTATCAGATGATGACGTGCCATGCCTCCCGAACAACCCACAGGGCGATTTGTCTCACGGGCCCGTCTTAATCCACCCTTCCATCCTTATTGCAGGTGGTTTTGCAGAAATGCAAAGTCAAATCTCTGATGCACAGCCCCGGGGATTACATCCTTTTAAGCGCAGATAAATACGAAATCAAGGTACGTATGGGCTCGAGACTACGATGTCTCAAGGAGGCCATAGTCTCATGTTAGTCCTACAAAGGAGGGGCAGGATCTGTTCTTGATCATCCCAGAGTGCTGAACCATGTAATAATGGACTCAAGCTAGAGGAAGCCAGATTTCAGCAGAATATCAGAAAAAAACTTCTCAATTATTAGAGTAGTGCGACCATGGAATCTGTGACCTCGGGAGGTGGTGAGCCCTCCAACACTGGAGGCCTTCAAGGGAAAATGGGACCATCATCAGGCAGATCTGCTTTGTTTTGGGTTCCTGCCTTGAGCAGGGGGTTGGACTCAATGACCTTAGAGGTCCCGTCCATCTCAATGATTCTGTGATTCTGTAAATGCTTTCAGTCAAGGAGCAATTAAAGGTTTGGAAGGTAGAGAAAATTTTAGCAAAGTATGTGTACCTCTCATCTTGTTAAAGCTGTGATTCCCCAGAGGTTCTTGGACTGCAACTCCCAGAAGCCTTCACCGCCAGATGTGCTGGCCAAGATGTCTGGGAGTTGCAGTCCAAGAACCTCTGGAGACCCAGGGTGGTCTCAAGGCTTCTCAGGTCCCTCATCTCTTGTTGTTTTTTTATTTCTTCCCAGATCTGGCCGATCGGAAGGGAAATCAACTGCAAATGCTTGAAGACCTTGACGGTCTCCGAGGATCACAGCATCTCCCTCCAGCCCCGCCTCCACTTTGACGGGAAGTATGTCGTCTGCAGTTCGGCCATCGGGCTGTACCAGTGGGACTTCGCCAGTTTCGATATCCTCAGGTGACGCTCAGAACGTGAGGCTGAAGATAAAAATCCGTATTTTTCTCTGTAGAAGTTGCTAAATTGGTTGCTGCTGTTCAGTCCTCCAAGAAAATTGAACCTCAGGCTCTTTAGGTCTTTTGCTCTTTTTTTGCTGCTCAAGAGGTGTTTGTGAGCTTCAGAGAGGAGAGGAGAGGAAATAGAAGGGGCGGTGGCCGCTAGAAAGCCTTTTGACAAACTTAGGAGGCATAGCCAAAGACATCTCCACAGTTTGGATCAGGAATTCGGAGGCGGGGGCATGACCTTCCAGATATTGTTGGGCTGCAGATCTCATCATCCCCTTGCCAGGGCAGATGGGAGTTGTAGTCCACTAACACCCCCCCCTTCCTGCTGGAGCTCTGTTCTCCCTGCCCCACGAACCTGGTGCCTTCAAACATACGGCGTTCCCCTTTGCTTATCAGGTTCTTGCTTGTCAGACACGATAGGAAGATCTAACATCCAGAATAAATTTCGATGGCGCAAGTTCTAGGACGACCAGACACCATATCTGAAAGGTTTTTTTTTAAATGAACTTGTTCTCCAGATTTTATTTTTGCTTCTCATCTCTTCCCTTTCTCCGCCTCTCTTTCTACTGCAGGGTTATCAAGCCCCCCGAATTTGCAAACCTATCCTTGCTGGGATTCGGCGACATCTTTGCCCTCCTGTTTGATAACCACTACCTGTACATCATGGACTTGAGGACCGAGAAACTGATCAGCCGTTGGCCACTCCCGGAGTACAGGAAGTCCAAGAGGGGGTCGAGCTTCCTGGCTGGAGAAATGTCGTGGCTCAACGGCTTGGACGGTCAGAACGACATGGGCTTGGTTTTTGCTACCAGCATGCCGGACCACAGTATCCATCTGGTTTTGTGGAAGGAGCACGGCTGATGCAGAGAATGAGAGATGGGAGGAGGATGCGATGTAGCTTTTTTAAAAAAAAAAAAGAACCGAAAGAAAAACGCATCTCTGAGACTGCCAACGATGGCTCGGGTGCAAAAGAAATTTGCATGAACCAAAGCTGTACATCTTAAGGGATCGTATCATGCAGTGCACAAATATTTTATTGTTTTCATTTTCTAGGTCCTTTGGTGAGAGAGAGGGGAGGTGCGGGAACGGCAGCAGATTGGGGGGGACAGGGCAGCTGTGTGGGGGTCTTCTTTTCAACCTGATGCATCCCCAACACACTAGAAGCCTCCAGCACTATCTCGTGGTGTCTGTGTTCAAACAACATGTCGTCAACCATAGTGCTCCAGGGCGGGTTTGGGATTTTTCTTTTGGAGAGTCCGTTCAGAAGAAAGGAGATCTCAAACGTCTTCTCTCGCCCTCCCGCTAAAATGGCTTGCTGAAAAGGGAACCGGGAGGAGGTGGTTATTAATCTATTTTCTTTCTCTCTTTTTTAAAAAGAACATCTTATTCACAGCTGTTTTGAAATAGTTTGATCACTATTAAAATGGACTGTGCTGGTTTCTTTAGGGCTGGTGTTCCTTCTCTGCTCTTGTCTCATTCCATTTCTTTCTCTCTCTCACACACACACATCCTCTATGCTCCGTACACTTGGGAGAGGACCTTTTCTGTACACACATTTTTCTCCCACCCTTCCCCACGTAAGTCTCCCCTTGATGCAAGAGATCACACAGATATTTGTGTAGTGTTCTGTTGACGGGATCATAGAGTGGATATGGCATTCGGGATTTGACGGAATTCCAGGAGAGGCATTCAGTTCTGCTGGACAGGGAGCAGAAGCCTGGGAAATCCACCCTTGATCTCCTGGAAGCCAGCAGGGGAAGTTTAAAAAAAGAAAAACATAGGATGTTCTGCCAAATATACAGCAAACTCTTGGGCCAGGTTAGAATGATAGCCTTTGTAATGGACTCGTCCGGCGAGCGGACGGCTCAGTCTCTCTGTGGTCTTCTCCCGCAACTACAGGCAGATTGAGGCTTCTGTTGGAATAATCAAGACAGAGGACAACCTAAATTAAATGTGTCAAAGTATTCCTTCACAGGAGAACTTCTTGTTTCAAAATTTGTCAGGAAGAGTTTGAGGTTTCGATGCAGAAGCAACACATATAGCAGTGAAATGGAGAGCTTTCCTGCCCCCCAAGGTTCTGTGGGGTTTTTTTTGAGAGGGGAGCTGAAGCCGAAATGGCTGGCTCTTCATTCGATGCTTGCTATCAAAGATTGCGCAACCATATTAATAAAACAATCTACTTGGTTTAATGTGCGGTTGATTGACTGAACACTTTGGGGGTTGTGTCTTGAGCCTCTCTGGGGACAACGCTGCCCAGTATTTCTGCTTTTGCACGCCCAGAATTCAGCTGTTGTGGTTTTTCAGCTGAAGTGGAGTTAAAAATGGCAGGACTGTCCGGCGGGAGTGAGAATCTAGCGCTATGCATGGACTCAATCAATGGATGCCAGTCTTGATGGACTCTAGTTCCCATTGGCCAGGGCGGCTGGGGGATTCTGGAAGTTGTAGTTTTCAAAAAGAAATTCTCCCAAGTTTTGGAGGAATGTGTCTGTGATGAGTCAAGCTGTAAATGTGGATAATTTAGAATGCAAAACAGGCGATATAAAAGGGGAGGGGGTTGGATTTCTTCATTGTATGCTAATGATTGTTTATCTGTTTCCTTTTTAGTAGACCCTCCAGAGACCATCCTTGATGAAGTGATTCGCCGGGAAGTTCCTTTGATCAGGTCAGACTAATTTACTAATTAGTTTTCCACAACGCCAACCCCCAAATCCTGTTCATCCTCTGACATATTAAGAGGAGCAGATGTGATTTCGCTCTGCTCCCTTTTCTCCTCCCCAGGGAGATAGACCAAATCCAAGCACAAATGACTGGTTTAAGGTCATCCACGGAGGTCGGTAGCCAAGGGGGCTTTGAAAACTGAGTTTGTCCATCGCTGCTTTGTGACACGCTCCCCACGGGCTGCGTGGGGAGGCAAAATAGGTCTCCCTAGGTTGGCTTCTGCCAATTCAAAAGGTTCTGAAGGGCCCATCGGCAAAATAACCTGGTGCGAATCCTGCCCACCCCTGCTGTTCTTTTCTGTACAGTTGGGACTCTCTGGAGGCAAATGAGAAAAAGCTCAGGGAGTGCCGTTCAGACTTAGGCATAAATATTGGATTTATTCCAACATGATATCAGACTTGGATGGTGATTTCCTGGCTTCCTGGACACTCTGCCCATTCTGTTTGATACTAGATGTACCTTTTTTTTTTAAAGGACAAAATAGATCAAGCTGGTAAATAATTAAGCACGGCTGTATTGCTGAAGATGCAATTACATGGAATCTATTTGTCATTAAGTGCTCTGCTCCCCAGGATCTTTTGTTGACATGAAATAATTCTTAAGTCTTCTGTTGCAACAGTGAATATCTACTAATATGTTTGGGTGATGTGATGGATTGGATTTGGCCCCATATCCCAGCTGAATCTGTTACTCTGATTTTGTCGGGCCGGGTTTTAGTCTGAATTTCACAAGTCCGAACTTTCCAAGAGCTTTCCAAGGTGCGGAACCTTGAGTTCTGCATCTTGAGCATCTCGTGAAAAGTTCGGATTAAACCCCAGCGCGAATTCATCACCAACCTTGTCACTAGCTTCTGCTTAGGAAGGAAACACAGAGCACCTGTTTCGAATCCTAACCTCTCCAGTTAGGGCTGGGAGAAGTTCTTTTCTGAAACTCTGGAGAGGTCCTATCCAGTTGGTTCTCCTCAAATGCAGAGACTTAAAACTACCATAATAGGATAGAAAGTGAGGACTTTGGAATGCCAGAATCTGGAACAGCTGACATGTTAATTTTCTTGCTAATGTGTTAATTTTTTAAAATCCCATTTTCAGAACTTCTTAGGTCACATGTCCAAATCAAATTGCTTCCCCCCCCCCCTCAGATCAGATTTCTAAAACAGCTCTCTTCTGGGGTTTTACACAACATTGGGGGGAAAAACACAACTAAGACAATGGGTCCTCCTGGATGTTACTCAAGGAATGTAGTATTCAAGACAGTGTAGTTTAACAGCAAACAAACAAGTGTTTTTCACCAAGCAAAACAGTCTTGAACTGTGGAACTCCTTGCATCTGGAGAGAATGAAAGGAATCTTGATTTTAGCTGCCCCTGGGACTCTTGACAAAGGCAGTAGAGACAGACCGTTGTAAGGTTTAGTGTGAGGTCTTTTGTCGACTAACCCACTTTTAAACCCATTCTTTTCCCAACTTCATATCGCATTACATTGGAATATTTTGTTAGATCTGGCTTTGCCCCAGCACCCTGATCTCATAACATCTTTATAACCATTGCCTAAATAAGTCTCTCACACACCCATCCCAGTTTCCATATTCCTTTGTAAACTTTAGCTGCGATCTTTAACAGGCGCTAGGGAGAGAGATTATTGTAGAATCATAAAATAATTTTTTGACTCTTCCCCTAGCTGTGGCTGTAGGTGAAATGCCTACATTTCCATTTTGCCACAAAAGTGATCACAACACCAGCTTGTGGTCTGTGACCCCTGAGCATCCTGGCCGCTGTCAGAAATTAGATGTTAAAACAGGGGCCACTGGGTTGCTGATGCGTTTTTTCATGTGCTCATACCTTTTGCCAAAGCAAGACAAATACGTAGTCCTGCTAACTCCCGTTTTATATCTCAGATGAGCGAGAAAAAACACAATCGGATGTGTTTGTGGTTTTTTTCCCTCCTAGCTTAAACAGCAAAACTGTGTGCTGGATTTGCTTGCTACTCCTCTATGTGTGCAGGTACTCCCATCCTGTCTCTGATCTTCCCAAGCCTTTTCTTGAGTTAGCATCCAAAGAGAGAAAACAGTCTTGTTTTCTTGAGCTCATTGCGTTGGAAGTCACAGCATTATTTCCCGTAGCACCTGATTAACCCTGCTGATCAGCGCCGAACGATACCTCCAGAGTGTTGTGTCCCGAATTAAAGATTCCCTGAGCAAACGAGGTTGTAAAGGGGTCCGGCAGTGATAAACCAGAGCAGTCTCCATTGGGACTTCCACGCTGTCTCCGAATGCCTGGAGGACCGAGTGGACGGATGTCTGGATGACTTTCCTGGGATTGACGATCATTTTCCGTGGATTGATGACCTCTTTCCTATCTGGTTCCCGGAGAACATGCTGCAGTATGTTGACTCCGGGAATGGCCTTCCAGGACGGGACGTCGACAGGCGAAGGGGTAAAAATGGTCTTAGGAAAGATGTGGTTCTCAAAAAGGAAAATGCCGCTTCCTGGATTTTGTTCCTGAAGGCTCTCCATCAGGGTATGCCAGTTTGTGTATTCAATGGGCAGGATAATTTCATCCACGTCATTCAGCAATACGTACTTGCTCCTGTACATATTCCGATAGATGCAGTCATTTAAGGCCGCAATTTGTCCATAGTATCCAATTTGTGTTGTGTCCCCTGGGAAATTCCATGTCCTCGAAACGTTGAGGTAGGATGTGATGGGCCAAGGAATGACCTCAACTGTCCCTTGGGCCACGTAATAATCCAGGACTTTTTCCATTTGCTGGCTGCAGTTGTTCCTGTAGATCATAACCTTCTGCATCCCAAGGATGGTGTACATTTCCATACTTTGCACAAACTGAAGCACGTTGTTATAGCCGCCGAACATCGTAGAAATGCACACCGTGAATTCCACGGGGGATCTCTCGAGCCTGCGGTTTCTAATCTCAAAGCGTTGCAACCGGCCGGCTTCTCCTTTCGGAAACGGGTGCAGCGCTACGTAGCGAGGGTGACAGTTGGCAGGTTCTACGCAGATAAAGTCTGCTGCCGCATATGGGAATCCAAATCGGTCCGAATGGACATCTATCACTGCTTTGGAGACGTATATTTCATTGCTGTCCGGACAGCAGAACCAACAATACTGCTCTCCGACCTCCTTGTGATGTACGATCCCAAGAACCCGAGTCAGATTCTTTACCCTGTTGTCAAAGTATGCGGCAATCACCAAAATCCTGTTGTTTCCTAAACTCGAGATGGATTTATTGCCGATGTCACCATTGCAGACGCCATCCCTTTTCAGGATCCCTGTTTTGAGCAAGAAAGGTTTTTTCCCTGTTTGGGAGTAAAAAAGCTTCAGCACAGAAACAAAAGCCACCAGGCACATTCCTGCGGCTAAATAAGTTTTTCTTTTGAAGCAGATCATCGTGTTCCAACTTGGGCTTCACCCTGGCATGTGTTCCGTTAATGAACCTGTGAACAGACACAAGGAAATGGAGTCAGGTCAGCCTCAGGCACAGAGAACAGCTGTCATTCATTTTTTATGATAGGTAAATTTGGTCATGCATATTGGCTGAAATCCTATTGCGTAGCTCTGCATGCTCTTCACTGGTGACATCATTGGCGGCAAATTGTCGCTGGTTAAAGGGGATTTCGGGATGCATGCAACTTGTACAAATGTGACAAAGTTGTGTGTACCCCAAGATAGCCAGAAGTGTGGCCTTTGATCAGCAGGAGTTTGCTTTTGCTGCTGACATCACTACCAGTGCACAAGCGTTGTGATGCGAGAGGATTTCAAGCCGTATCTAACACACGATACAGAGCGAGGACAACTCTACAGATGAGACCCAATCTGTTAACCCACGATGTGGCATTTTTCTATCGTGGATGACTTCATCCAAGTAGGACCCATTTAATTTGAATGGGCCGTTCAGTGTGATTTCCTCCTTCTAAAATTACTATCCTGAGATTATTTGCCAGCTGCTAAAATGAGTCTAGTGGTTAGATACCTCAATGGTTTAGGTATCTGGTTATGGAGCCAGAGGTTGGGAGTTCAGTTCCACCACTGGGCCTCCTGTACGTAGAGTCAGCTCGTGTAGCCTTGGGTAAGAGCAATCTCAGAATGTTAAACCACTTTTGTGTATTCTTTACCTGGAAAACTGTGAAAAAAACTCTGTAAGTCAGACTCTGTAAGTCTGGAAGGGTCGTAGAACCACTTTTGTGTATTCTCTACCTGGAAAACTGTGAAAAAACTCTGTAAGTCAGAATTGACTTGACGGTACATGAGTATTCTTACTAACTCAAGTCTGGAAGGGTCGTAGAATCAAACCTTCCTGCCAATGGAAGATTTAAAGAATTGGTATCGTTTTGTGTTTTAAGGCTGTTGTCCTGTGTCCCCAGACATCTATCTCTTTAGGAAAGGTGACACCAAAAGATAACTAACCATCCTGCCCACTTGAATACTTTTCCACAAGCTATGTTTGGCATAAAGAGGGAGGGATTTCCTACGGAAAAGAAAGGAATCCTCTATTTGAAGGGCGGTTGTCTATTTCCGCCTCAAGTGGCCACCTTTATTCCCACCAACATTTACAAAATGTCATCTTTTCCGCAAGAGTCGATGGCTACCATTCATTCTTATGGGGTGGACCGAAGCTGTACGTACAACATTACAGGAAGAAAGATCACCCGAGGCTTGAAATGAACTAATTACAAATAGAACACCTTATTTATTTATTTCTATTTATTCAACTGATATACTGCCCATCTGGCCTGCAGCCACCCTGGGCAATTCATAACACAAAAGTAGCGCAAAAAGAATCATTAAAAAAAATCAATTATAAAATAGAATACAACATAGCCATTTCAAACAGTATAAAATACATTCTTAAAGATCCGAGTTTAAAATAAGATGTGTTCTAAAATGCCTGAACATTTAATCAGTAACGCCTGCGATGGATTCCTTTTTACAACAACTTAACAAACAATAAGATTCAAACCTAGTAAGAGTCATTTTTTGGTACAACGATACCCATTTAAGTTCTCTAGTTACTTAAAAGACGTGGAAGGTCAGTATGTAGAAGTGTTTTGTACTGGTATAAAATGAGATCTTACTCAGGGTTGAGGATGTGTGGATCTTGTCTGTCTATCACATGAGCCTTAAGGCATGATTGTGTCGTCCCCTTATAGGAGGCTGATCCTGCTGTAAGGCAGAAAGAGCTGGGGGGCTCATAGAAGAGGGGTGCCGTCTCACCCTTTACTTCAGGCGGTAAGATTTCTCGGGACGGCCCTGATGGGGGGGATTTGCTAGGAGCACTGAATTCCACTTCTCACGTCATGTACCAACGTGGGGCATCTTAGTAGGTACAACATGCTGTCACGTTTTATTTTAATTTAAAAGAATTTTTTTTTGCTTTTATCGTTCTAGAGCAACGATTTTATCGTTTTATCGACCTTAGAGCAGTGGTTCTTAACCTTTGTTACTCAGGTGTTTTTGAACTGCAGCTCCCAGAAACCCCAGCCAGCAGAACTGATGGTGAAGGCTTCTGGGAGTTGCAGTCCAAAAACATCTGAGTAATAAAGGTTAAGAACCACTGACCTAGAGCATCAAACATGCAGAATTATGACCCAATTTTTTAAAAAAAAATACTGTAAAGGAGTAATAACATACAAATCCACAGAGCAGGTAGCAGCAGATAAATAATTGTATATAAATCAATAAAAGTTCAGCAAAACAACCAACATTCAGCAAAAGTAAAAGTTTGCCGCTGAGAGTAGACTATTGGTCTAGATGGGCGGGGTATAAATCGATAAATAAAATAAAATAAAATAAAATGAAAACAGGCCAACACATCACCTAAACAGACTGAATACCTTCTTTAAAACCCTGGTGTTTTGGCCCCATACACACGTTCTTAGAATTGTTGCAAATTTAAGCAAAATTAACTCTCGGATTTTTTCATAGTCTGTTTATTTTCTTGAACTAAGAACGGAACACAATACCTGCTATCCGGTAACTCAGGACCCTTGTGAAATTTTTTTGTTTCTTTTCCACATCGCTTCCCCCACTTTAGGGTGGGGAACAAGAAGCAAAAAAAACACCCCAAGAACAAGCTTGTTTGAAAAATACAGAATCCAAGAAAACCACGGCGGATGAGACGTCACTCTTCCAACATAATTCCTTGAAGACTTATTTTGTTTGAAGTTACATCTCCCTTTTTCCGGCGAATGGTTGACTGTTTGGAATTTTGACCCATGAATATGGTTAGGAATCAGTTAAAAAAGCAGAACAGGCGAAGAAAGTGGAACAATGAGAAGATTTGAGAAGTCTTGAAGCCACCATGGAGTATCCATACTCTTTCCGACAGGAGCACCCGCATGGTATTAAGTTTCAAGCTTTCTGGAAAGACAGGTTCAGGCAGTTTAAGACAAAAGCACATGACCGCCTATTTCCGAAGGGAGATCTGGCTGAATGTCTGCAGCTGATGGGAATGTTGACGGCAGAGAGAGAGAGAGAGAGAGATGGAAAGACTAGAGTGAGAAAAGTGACTCAGAGCTTCTGGGTTATAAACCCACCAGGAGAGAAATAAGCTCTGCCAAAATTGAACTGGTTGCCCTCAATAGAAACCAGGTTTTCTTCCTTCCTTATCTCATCAATGTGTTGCCCTGGAATGTCCTGACTCAGTGGTTAGGTTTTGTCATGAGTCGGATGATAATGAGCAGATTGATGCGTGGTTAAAACAAGGTACCGTTGCTTAGTGGTGTTGCATCAAATCGTGGAAATAAAAGTGTCAACTTCAAAAAGGATAGATTGCTACACCGTGTTGTATTTGAGGCTGCCCTTGAAGGCTAACACAGAAACGTTAGTCAGTTCAGGAAAAAAAATACAGTTGCCGGACTGTTGAGTGGAGCAGGTCAAAGAGTATATCTGGTCTTGATTTGAGCATTTTGGCTTCACTAGTGTAAACCCAAACTCCACTTCCTCTGGAAATCAATCAGCGTCGCATGCCAAGGGTGTATCCTGTACTGACGCATAGATCCACCCTGCTCCACCCTACTTAGCTCCATGGGAGTCAGGAACTATTAACACATTCCGGATGCAGGTTTGACAGTCACTCCATCACGAAAACCTAGATTGGGATCTCGTTGGCGCTTACAAGCACAAAATGCCAAGCCAGTCTTAACTTGTCCTGGGTTTCAGTGTGGAATTCCTTTCACAACCTCAGGAAAAAACAAACAAACCCTCAAACTGGGAATTCCTTTCACAACCTCAGGAAAAAACAAATCCTCAAACTGGGGTATCTCTGTGGGTTGCAACACAACAATGTACATCCATTAGGTGTAAATCTCTATAGTTGCTCGTAAAGTTGAAGGAGGCAGCTGAGGTTGTACGCCATGTCACAAAACCAGTGTGTGAGACCCAATGCCTATGATAAATTCTTAAGGACGGATTTGTGCAAGTGGACTTGCTCCAGCTAAAAGGGTATTCGGTTGCTGGGCATCCCATCCATTGTTGTTCAGTGGCGCATTTGGTGTGCTGACTCAAAAAAATAATAATCACAGTGCCTCCCACCTTTCTGAGGATGTGAGCTCCACACTCACAAAAGGACTCCAGAAAAATACTTCTAATCGCCAGCTAAAAAAACTGGGGAGCCAGAGACCTTCTGCAGTCAGAGCAGAGCAGATATTACTCTAAGAATACTCTGATAATCTAAAGGGATTAATGGCGTGATTAATAGCAAAAGGACTCCAGAAAAATACTTCTAATCACCGGTCAGAGCAGAGCAGATACTACTCTAATAATAATCTGATAATCTAAATGGATTAATGGTGTGATTAATAGTTTTATACCCTGTTTCCCCAAAAATAAGACATAACCTGAAAATAAGCCTTAGTATGATTTTTTCAGGATGCTTGTCATATAAACCCTACCCCAAAAATAAGCCCCAGTGAAGTGAATCCACTGCCTCCACCCTTGTGCAGCAATCAGAAGAAGACAGGACTGGATTTGAAACAATGTAGATGGTTGTACATGAAAAAAAATAAAACATTCCCTGAAAAATCAGCCCTAATGCATTTTTGGGGCAAAAAATAATATAAGACCTTGACTTATTTTCGGGGAAACACACACTATGTATAGCTTGTCTCTGTTTCTGAGAAAGGACAAATACACCCATTTTCAAATGTACTGTTTCAGTTGTTTCTGATTTCCAAGTTATGAATTATTGATACATACCTATCACTAACAAAATTAGTTGATAGAGCGAAAATACAGGAGGAGGTTATTGTTAGGTGATGCCAAGTCACAGCTTATTTAAGGGGACCAAATAGGATTTTTAAGGTATGTGAGATATTTAAGGAGCCATTTTATTAGTGCCATCCACCACCACCTACTCATGACTTCCTGTGGTTCAGTGGGGATTTGAACCCTGGTCTCCCTTACCTGAACCTCTATCCTCTATGAGATATTTAAGGAGCCATTTTATTAGTGCTATCCACCACCATCTACTCATGATTTCCTGTGGTTGAGTGGGGATTTGAACCCTGGTCTCTTTTATCCCACCCTGTCACTCTATCCTCTATGCCACCTCAGCTCTCACATAAGATGTGCATCAACATATAGATTTGCATTCTAATTATTTCTTTTTTAAAAAATGGGTTTATTGTGGAGGCCCAAGGTTGAGGACCACTGCTATGCCATATCAGCTCTCGCATAAGATGTGCACGAACGTATAGATCTGTATTCTAGTTATTTCTTTTTTTTTAAATGGGTTTATCAATCTAAATTGATTCAATCCAAAATGAGACATAAAGCAATCGGCAGACAAAACCTTTGCTGAATTGCATTTTGGGTTGATCTTTCCTATCCACACACTCCTCAGTTTGAATAAAACTTTTAAGTAACAGTTTTGAACAGTTTTAATACAGCACAATAGCAGATTTAACGAGTAACAATACAATAACAGTTCTGAATGGTTTAAATAACTGCCACTGTTGGAACATGGACAAGAGTAATTACTATTTCGAGACATTGCATCCAAAGTTAAAACAACTGTGATGACATCTAATCTTTGGGAGGAAATGAACAACAAGAAGATATTAGCATTTCAGTATTAGGGAGAGTCTGTATATTAATTGTCTATAAAATTCTCTCCAAGGACTCCTTGGATGTGAGATGGACATGGTGTGTTCTCTTCTTTATCTTGAGATACAGATGTTCCATTTTGTTGAATATCCCATGAAAAGCAGTGGCCATTGTCTCTGTACTGTATTACTCATTTTGTTTCCTCTCCGAGTTCTACTCTTTGGCTACGTCCATCCGTGCCGTGACCCAAAAGAACGTTAAGTAATTCTTGCATCATAAGGAGGTGGGTTGTTATAGAACAACAGAAGACTGTACGAAGGAATCGATTCAGTATGTTGTCCCGTCTCCTCCCTGCCTTTTGCAAGCACTCCAAAGTTTAGGAATTGCGGAACAAGAAGAAAACAAACACACAAAAAGTCCGAGTGGGAATTGCCCCATCATTGCAGGGAACCGTCATCTACATACAAAGCAGAGAATTGGTGTAACAAGCACCTCACGTGGAAACATCTTTCTGCATGTTGTATATGATGGCCAAGGTCCAACAAGAACTTTGCCGATTCTGGCTAACGAGCTGAGCAGATCTTTAGTGTCTTTGTTTGAACATTATATATTTGGACTCTTCCCTTTTTTTGGCTTATAACACTGTATGCTGTAGAACTCTGTTGACGTTCCCGATCAATGACTTGTTGTATCTCCAGAGGGTTTTGTCCTCAATCAAAGATTCTCTCGGCAGATTTGGTCGGTGGGGAGCTCTGCAATGGTATATCAAAGCCACATCGCTCCCGACATAAAAGCTGCTCCCATACGACTTGAGGACAGTGTGGACCGAGGTCTGGATCACTTTCCTTGGATCCACAATCATTTTCTGTAGATTGAAGACCGTGTACCTCCAAGGTTCCCTCAGGACATGCTGCAATATGTTAATCCCAGGAACCGCATTCCAAGACGAGGTGTTGAAAAGATCATTTGGCATGAAAACGGAATTGGGGAAGATGTGGTTCTCGAAGAGAAACACCGCACTGTGGGGGTTTTCCCTCTGAAGGTCCCGCATCATGGTTCCCCAATCTGGATATTTCACGGGCAGAATAATTTCATCAATGTCATTCAGCAGGACGTACTTGCTCTTGTACATGTTGCGATAGAGGCAGTCATTAAGGGCTGTAATTTGTCCGTAGTACCCAATGTCTTTGCCGGCCCTTTTATGATGCCAGTAAGGAGAAACGCTAAGGTATGATTGAATTGGCCAAGGGATGACTTCCACGGTCCCTTCTGTGACATAAAACTCCAACACTTTTTCCACCAGTTGACTGCAGCTGTTCTTGTAGATGACCACTTTCTTCGCCCCGAGAATTTTATACATCTCTATGCTCTGCACCAGCTGAAGGACGTTGTTGAACCTTCCAAACATGGTGGAGATACAGACCGTGAATTCCATCAGCAAACTCTCCGTGTCACGGTTTTTTATTTCAAACTGGGGCATTTGGTCAATCTTTCCTTGACGGCTCCAGTGCACTGATACATAGTTTGGTGCACAGTCTTTGGGTTCTGAGCAACACAGGTCTGTGGTGCCATACGGGAAATCGAACCGATCCGAATGGACATCTATTTCCGCTTCGGAGATGCGTATTTTCTTACGAGATGGGCAACAGAACCAGCAGTAAAGGTGTTGCACATCTCTGTAGTGAACTATTCCAATCAGCCGGACGATGCTTCTCCCGTTCTGTCGTTTGTCTGCGTAGGCAGCAATGATGAAAGTTTTGTTATCTTCTAAGGGTGTGATACTACCAGTAGCAGAAATTCCTTTGCAGAACATTTTCTGGGGAGTACTAGTGGTTTTTTTCTGGAGGTAGGAAAAGGTCACTATAGAAGTCAAAATGATGATGGAAATTGCAATCTTCAAGTATGACATTTTGAAAGAGGATGGCCGCCCATGCTGCTGCATGGTGATGTCTTCAGTGGGATAATTTACTGCTGCCTAGAAGACCACAAATAGAGAGAACATATTAGAGAACAAATACTTCAGCTTTACTCCGTTACCTCTTTTGATGACCCTAAAGTTGGCATGTCAGAATGGTTGCAATCAGTTGTTTTTTTTCGCAGTGAAATACCAAAATAAGCCAGCATGTTTCAAAAAGATGCCAACATGTTAAAAAGCTGTAGCACGCTATACAGTTTATTCAAGTGGAAGAAGGAGGGAATAAGGAAATAATAGAGCAATCCTATATGTGTGTGATCAGAAGAAAACTCCGTTGACTTGATTAGGATGCAATCCCAGTTAACATATGCTAACACTGTTGCTGATAAATATGGCTTACATTTATATTCACTAATAAAGTATGAAATAAATAACTCATTCAGAACAAATTATTTTATTATATTTAAAACTACCCTTTACATATTATAACCAAATAGTCTGGTTTAATTTTTCAGCCTCCAATTTTTCCCTCTGGAAAGTAATGTAGTAAAGAAACAAGTAGATAGCAACTGGAAACTGCTTTAAGGACATTGTATGTGACCATTGGCTGACAAATCACAGAGGTGTAACTTAAGCACACACTTATTTACGTATTTGAAATTATTGGAATTTAATAGGGAGTTGCATGTGGATGTGATAAGTCCCTTGCTGGCTTTTTAACTCATGAACTTGTATGTTGCTTTATGTGCTGGGAATGTTCAATTTTGGTTATTTTCATATAATTTTTTTGTTTTAAAGAATTTAGCAGAGCCAAAATGGTAAACCATGCTCAAGCACTCAAGCACCCTGGAATCAACTGGATAGCATGTAGTAAGTAAATTAATTACCTAAGTTATTGATCAATCAGCTTCCGGTAGGAGACTAAAATATATGTTCCCTTTGTATTCAGAACATGTTCTGTTGGGTCATACCAATAGCTGTTTGACATATAAAATAGATTTAACTTTCACAGGTGGTTTGCTGCCTAAATACTGGCTGGTTGTTGTTGTTTAGTCGTTTAGTCGTGTCCGACTCTTCGTGACCCCATGGACCAGAGCACGCCAGACCCTCCTGTCTTCCACTGCCTCCCGGAGTTGGGTCAAAGTCATGTTGTCAAATTCACTTCGGTGACCCTGTCCATCCATCTCGTCCTCTGTCGTCCCCTTCTCCTCTTGCCTTCACACTTTCCCAACATCAGGGTCTTTTCCAAGGAATCTTCTCTTCTCATGAGATGGCCAAAGTACTGGAGCCTCAGCTTCAGGATCTGTCCTTCCAGTGAGCACTCAGGGTTGATTTCCTTCAAAACGGATAGGCTTGTTCTTGCAGGTTAGTGCAAATCAAATATGTGGAATTTAGACTCAGCATCATGCTGTAGTTTTGACATTTTATTTGTCACCAGCTGAGGATATATCTATTCTCCATATGTACTGGGGCTGGGTCGTTCTGGTGCAATGTGATTCTTGTTGGGTTTTCTGAGAAAAGATCAATATGAGTACCTCTCTGGAGCGTTTGCTTCGGGAAGAGGATGCTGAGTACTGGCCTCTGATAGCCTTTTGACAAAACAACAAACAAGAGGGCAGGGGGCCTTCCTTCTATCAGGCCCCAGTGCTATAGTGACAGCTTTAAAAGGCCCATAATAGACCAACTTCTTTATGAGAATAACTGGAGGAAGAGTTGAAAGATTGACCCAGTTCTTCCTGCCCTCCCTTTGACTTATTTGGCTCCTTTTCCATATTTTTTATTTAGCCAAAAGTTGCAGGATGTTTTTATAAGCCTTCCTCTGAAGAAGAAGAAAAAAAGGGAGGGGAGAGAAAAAAAAAGGCAAAAGATGCTTTTCCGCAGAAGGGTGATATTGTAAATTTTGAACTGCCTGTTCTTAAAAGGCCCAAACAGGGTTCCTGAATATATGCTATTAACTGGAGATTGTGGGTCAGTATCTGAGGAACGACTCAAGAATAAAAGAAGTGGCACACACAAATAATGCAGAATATTGGTTTCCCCTTTAAGAAAGCTTACCACACCTGTAGCCACTTGAATGTTTATAGGAAGAAAACAGGTTTCCCCCATTTTCTCCCAGGTTTGTTTCAGAAAAAGGAAGTACATATTGCTGCAGATTTAAGGTAAGAAAATCAGCTACAGTTTTTTTTTCTTGACTTCCTCTTGTTTTCCCCACAGAAATAAGTAGTCAAGAGTTTCAGTGGTGTAGTGTTTGAGCCTGAGGCTGGCAGAGATTTCCAGGGAGTGGATTTTAGATGGTTTTCTCTTGAATGAAAACATCTAAGTAGGCTTGCAAATTTGAATCAGAGTCCCTAGTTTTTAAAGAAATGGATGAACGGAATGACAATGTGTACTTAAATAATACGTACATTTGAAAAGCCATCACAATATGTTTGTGAAGGAGATCACAGAGGTCTGTAATGGACTGTGTTGTAAGAAAATTGTTTTTTGTCTTTTATGAACTACAGAATATCTCTTGAAGGTTTTGAGGCCTTTATTAAACATACCTTCATGCAGTTTTAAACAATTCCCAACAAATTATTCTTGAATAAGTTAAGAGTGGTAAATCATGGGATTCCTTGAGCTGTTTTTTTTTTCTTGGTGCTTAGCTCTGAAAAAGCACCAACTACTACTTTTTTGCTGTGGTTGGTTTGTGGCTTTCCTGCCAGGTCGCAAATGGTTCTGTAGGTCCGTTGGGGAAGGTCCTGTAGAAGTATCCTGGGGAAGTTATCACCTCTACCATTTTCTGGGAACACCTCACCTACAATGCCTAGCTCTGAAAGGAGGATGTTCCAGGAGTCATTTAGGTTAGGATGGCTTTTGTTGTTGTTGCAGGACCCATTTTGTTGCTGGAAATCACCCTTGTAAATGTTATTTTATTTTTATTGCTCTCTTACATCCCCCAGTACCAGCAACAAGATTTTGTGTCCTCTCTGCTCTGTTGCTTATCTATTCTAAAAACAGTAACTGCAACACAGGCTTGAAATGAATCCTCTATGAACTCTTAATGGTCTAAAAAACCATGTGGGCTTTGGTGATGTGTATATGCCTCAACAGCCATGTGATACCAATCAACAAAGGTATGGGGGATCTGTGGTTTTTTTTAGCTAGCCACAGAATTCCATGTGCAGCCACACTACCTGGGAATTTCATGAATTGTAGTCCAAAACCCACAAATCTATACCAGTTAACTGTCAACACAAATTGAACACAGGAACACAAACTTGCTGCAGCAAACATATTGCTAAGAACAACAGCTTTATTCAACATCCAAGATTTAGTCTTAATCATTTGTAATTGTAGAATTAAATTCTAACAAAACTCTTAACATTTGTGTTTCTTTCTAAAAACATGCTCTTTCTATATAAACATGGTATCTCCTTGCGTTAAAATGAGGAAGCTATAAAGTGAAATGGAATTAATCCATAATGAACTTTCACAACAGACAACATTAACAGTTCTGTGGTGAGGAAGCACATGTACATGAGTTTACTGACTCAATGGTGTTTAGAACAATATTATTGATTGATACTTATTTTATATATACATGCATAATCATACATGTATCTGGAGTTGTGTCCAAAATCAAGAATGGGGGAAATCCTGCAAACTGTTCTGTAGGCAGAAAAACATATAAGAAACAGATAAGAATCACGGTTACAACACAATGCATGTTGAACAAATATACTTTTACAATAGGTCATGCATTTCATCCAGGGCACTTAACACCGTGATAACTTGTTTTTATCTGTGATGCCTATGAGTTTGTGAAAATGTGTGAGCTATGCTGGAGGTTGCTGATGGAAAAGTACAGTTTCAATGTCGTAATCCATCAACCAGTAAAAACTGGCATGAATACTGCATATTATCTGTTGTTTTCATGATGTGAAACCATCAACCAGTAAAAACTGGCATGAATACGTACTGTATATTATCTGTTGTTTTCATGATGTGAGAAAATCTGAAGTGCCCACTTGTCTACAACCTCCTGAAATGACTGGTTGTTGTTTAATCCAGCAAGAGTAGAACTTTCTATTTTAAGATACTTGCAATGGTTTTGATTAATGTCTTCCAAGTGAATTTGAAACTCTTGTGAAACATTTTTTTGGTAAGCATTTCATTAACATTGCTAATCAAAGAAGCATTGAAGCGCCAAATTGCTGGGTCTCTAATGAGGTATCCGTCAGAGATGTCTTTTCTGTTGTGGGCTCTGCAGGTGTACAGGATTGCAATATCTTTGGGGACTTCCATTGTTCTACCATAACCCTTGAGAACGGAGTGGATGGAGGTTTGGATTACTTTCCTCGGATTAACAATCATTTTTCTTGGGTTATTGAGCCATATTCTGTTAGGCACTTTGTAAATATGCTGCAGTATATTAACTCCTGGGACTGTTTTCCATAATGGAACATTGAACCTGTCTATAGAAGAAAGCACACTCTGGGGGAAGAAATGACTTTCAAAAAAGTAGATCCCTGTTTCTGGGTTTTGATTCTCGAGGCTGTTCATCATTGTTTTCCAATTCAGATGTTTAGTAGGTAAGATAATTTCATCAATGTCATTAAGAACCACATATCTGCTCCTATACATATTGCGATAGATGCAGTCGTTTAAGACCGTTGTTTTTCCATTGTGCCATTGTGGGGAAGAAGACCAGAATGAAGAAAACTTAATATATGAAGTAATTGGCCAAGGTATAATCTCAACGGTGCCTTCTGCTACGTAAAATTTCAGGAATTCTTCCACTGATTGGTTGTAGCTGCTCATGTAGATCACCACTTTCTGCGCGCCAAGGATTTTATACATTTCCATGCTTTGTAGGAACTGTAAGACGTTGCTGTGGTTTTCGACCATGACAGAGAGACAGACCGTAAATTCAGCAGAAAACTGTGTGCTGTGCACACGGTTCCTGATTTCAAATTGTGGTAATTCCTCAATGTTTCCTTTTGAGGAGGAATGAACTGACACATAATTGGGAGAGCAGTTTTGAGGTTCCAGGCACACTATGTCTGCTGATCCAAAAGGGAGTTCAAATCTCTCTGAGTGAATGTCTACGGCAGCCCTTATTATGGAGATACGCCTGTTATGGCTGCAGCAAAACCAGCAGTAGAGATCCTGTACCTTCTTATAGTTCACTATCGCAATCACACGGGTTAAGTTTTGCTCCCGGTTATCCTGATAGGACGAAACGATGAAAGTGTGGCTATATTTTAAAGCTGTGATGGTATCGGTCACAACCTTATGTGGGCAGGGGTTAGTTGGCCATTTCACTTTGTTAGAGGGTTGCATGGCCCAATAGTGCAGTTCGAAACAGAGAACGAAAAGAACGATAAGAAAAGGGCTTATGACAAAAATGCTCCTTTTTCTACAACGAGGCATTGTTCTGCTTCGGTTGTTGCAACCAAAGTGGTTGTTTCCTAAAATGCAAAGAAAAGGTAAAATAAGTGTATTTTACGACTCAGCTATCTAAAAACCACAGACTACTTTAAGGCCAATAAATCTTGAGCAATTAGGCAATTAGACTTGTATACTTAATTTCTTTTCACTGGGAAAATTATTTGTTAAAAAATAACTAATTCCTAATTACGGTAATTGTTCCCTTTCAACTCATTTCAGAACTAGAGGCGGTACTGGTTCTTTTCCTACCTGTATGCCCTTCCACTCTGTTAATGGATCTTAGATAGAAAAGAGTCACTTCTTTCAGTTTTTGTTATGTTAGTTCCCTATTTTGGACCCACATTCTCATTCATAAGGGACAAAAGTCCCTTCTGACCACCATATATGGGGACATATGTGATCATTTTCCTTCCCCACATATGAAACTTCTTTCTCTAGATATGCATGATAAACAAATTACTTCTATTTCCACGTCAGAGGTTTTTTACTGCTCCTATTAATATGGGATGCCCTCTTGTTTGTTAAGCAGGGGTAGGGATAAGCTTTCCAACCCCTATAAATAAGTTCTATATCAGTTCTAATTTCTATATCAGTTCTCATCCATGATGCAGGATGCACTCCTTTCTCCTTCTTGTAAAGGACAAATTCTCTCACCTCTATAATCAAATTACTGCCTCTGTCTTGTAAATAGGATTCCCTGCATGGTGTAATGCAGTGATCTCCAACCTTGGGCCTCCAGATGTTCTTGGACTTCAACTCCCAGCAGAGGTTGTGGTGAAGGCTTCTGGGAGTTGTAGTCCAAGAACATCTGGAGGCCCAAGGTTGGGGACCACTGGTGTAATGGATAGAGTGAAGGACTAAGACTCCGGAAAACCGGGCTTGAAATTGGCCATGGAAACTCCCTGGCCGTGTGGAACTGGTAAAACCACTCCTTAAATATCTCACTTACTTTGAAAGCCCTACAAAGGTCACTATAACTCTGTTCTGACTTGATAGCGCAGAACAAAAACACACACACACATATACAAATATATACTGTATATTAAATATGTAAATATGCTTTCCCAGCTCTGATAACCAGAACAAAAGTAACTGCAGTAATAAGAATTAAAATACATATGTGATTTTGTAAACGTGTAATCTCACCTGCAGATTTTTAGAACTTGATTCCTAAAATCACCTCCAAGCACTGGCAATGCTGAGAATAATAATAATAATAATAATACAGTAATAATACAGTAATAAAAGAACTTTGCGCAGTATTATAAGCAGTTGCAATTTCCAGAAATAATGCCACCACAGCTACAAAACACAGCAATATTAGGAGCAGCATAGCATACACACCACATCAATATTTAACAGAGACATAGGGTTTTTGATCAAAAACTGTATCCATTATATAATACGAGTCAGTTTTTTTATAATTTTGATAGACTGTGCCTGGTATTTTTAAAATAAGAATAACAATAATATGCCGTCAAGTCCATTCTGACCTTGAGCAGCCCTTTTCAAGAATTTCAGAGGTAGAGAATAGGTTTGAATAGAATTGATTTGACTGTGCCTAATATTTTTTAATAATAATAAGAGACAGACAGACATGCAGCACTATCTTTTGCTTCGTTTGCAGATGATGCTGTAATGGGGGTCATTGAGTGCTGTGCCTAGCATGAATGGCCTGGATGAGGGCCAATAAATGGGAACTGAATCCAAATTAAGACGTACATCCCACTTTTAGGAGGATCATTGGGGCGGTTAGAGGAAACTTTACCCAACCTTGAAGGGGTTCTACTCTCCCTGAAGGACTGGGTCCGCAACTTGGAAGTATTCCTAGTCCCAAGGCTCCCCATACCTGCCACCATTCCAACCTTATCCGAATTGTTCCCACTTTCTACCCTCTAAGGTCCAAATGTATACAAATATGGTGGTTATTCTTTCAAACTACCCTTCCAGCTCTTCTTCATAGAGGGTTCCTCTCCTTTCTAAATGGGTGCCACCGTCCCCCAATTTGTCTTGGGCTCTGTGAGTTCTCCCTGGCCTCTCACCTCAAAAAAAAATAATAATAAAAAAAGGGGGGGATTTCCTTTCCTTCCCCTTAAAAGCATGCTCCTCAGTTCTCCTAAGATAGTTGTTTTATAGTCTTTCCTCCCATGATTAGGGGTGCCCCTGTCTCCCTCATTAATAGGGGGTGCAATCTATGGGTTCTCCCTATTACTCCCAACCCCCTGAATATAAAATATGAGGGAAAATCTCCCTTTTAAAATAGCCCCCCCATATTATGTAGGTTCACACACAGAGAGAGCTTCCCCCTTATTTATATGGGGGGCCACTCCTCTCAGAATTGAGATGGTTGGGGCTCTATAGGTTCAGCCTCTCCCCGCCTCAATTAAAAAACAACACCAAGATTATGGGGATATTTCAGGCTAATCAAGAATTTTTAAAAAAATCTAAGTCCCTTCAACAATGTTTTATTCATTTTTGGCGGCTTCACCTCGGAATGAGGAAGGAAAGTTCTCCACCTCACGCCCCGCAAGATGGCACGACTATAAAACTTGAGGGAGGAGAAAGGTTGGCCTCTTTTTAAATGTATAGGTATATAATGTGTGTATATATACAGTATATTATGTACTGTATCTCTCAGGCTCGCTTGAATTTCTAACGCTTGCGGCCCCTCCCCCTCAAAAAGGCGGGAAAAAAGGGGGCAACGGTCGCCTCCGTGAGGCGCCTGAGGGGAATTTTATTATTTTTTGGAGGGCGGGGCTTTCTGTGGGGAGGGCGCCGTTTCGCCCTTCTTTTCAGGGCGCTTCAGTCCCGCGCTTTTTGTGTCGTGTGTGTGTGTGTAAAGTTGTGATTATGCGTCACTAACATGTTATGAAGACCAATTCTTGTGAAAGCTGTGAGGCGGAAAAAAAAACGGGGCGGGGAAAGCAAAATAACAGCAGCTTCCTGAGGTGAATTGAGGGGCTGCCGCGGCAATGCTTTGGGTTGTTAATTCCGGCTGCCTTTATTTAGGAATAAATTCGCACACCCCTCCTCAGGCCCCTGGGCTTTATTTCGGAATAAACCTGCCCTGCCTCACTTTTTAAATCCCAAGATCCTGAGTGCGTTGACCTCAGAAGCTGCTCCCTGGGAGTTCCTTGAGAGGCTTACTCGGGAGAAGGGGGGGGTGAATAACGTGGAAAGCCTGGGGATGTTTTTTTTTTGTTGGACTACATGTCCCAGCATCCCCTGCCATTTGTGCTGGCTGTGGCTAATGGCTCTTGGAGTCTTGACGACCCCATTGGCGCCCCCTAGTGTAGAAGATGGGTAATTACAGGTCAATAGCAGCAGCAGCAGCAGCAGCAGCAGCAGCAGCAGCAGCAGTAGTAGTAGTAGTAGTAGTAGTAGTAGTAGTAGTAGTAATAATAATAATAATAATAATAATAATAATAATAATAATAGACAAATGAATCAAGAAGACATACTCTTTATTATTACTAATTTTAGTCATTAATAATACTATTACTATTATGGCAAGTTTGTTATTACCTATGTCCGCATGAGGGGGGGGGGGAATAACGTGGAAAGCCTGGGGATTTTTTTTTGTTGGACTACATGTCCCAGCATCCCCTGCCATTTGTGCTGGCTGTGGCTAATGGCTCTTGGAGTCTTGACGCCCCCTAGTGTAGAAGAGGGGTAATTACAGGTCAATAACAGCAGTAATAATAATTATAATTATAATAGACAAATGAATCAAGAAGACATACTCTTTATTATTACTAATTTTAGTCATTAGTAATACTATTACTATTATGGCAAGTTATTACCTATGTCCGCATGACTACGGCTGAGTCATAATTTGTAATTTTTTTATTATAATTCCTGTCAAATCATAGATTTTTTTAAAGCCACCCCACAAGAACGGCAAGAGAAGTTGGGAGTTCGATTCCCCCCACGGGACCTCCTTGACAGGACTTGGACTCCGTGATCCCTTCCAGCTCTGGCCGTTCTGATCTACCAACACCAATTATTCTTATAAAGAATAATTGATTTTACTATTTAAACAGTACTTGGCTGTGCTTTGGTGACACCCAAAATCTGCTGCCTCTGGCAGTGGCCTCGTTCGTATGATAATTATTAATTATAAAGAATAATTATTGCATTTCTATTCTGCCGTTGTTCCAGTGAGCTTAAGGTGGTGTGTAGGTGGTTCTTCCCTCTTCTTCTATAATCCCGACAGCAACCCTGTAAGGCGGGCCAGTAGCCTATTCCTAGTTTCCCACAAGAGCAGACCACAGACCCAACATCATTGACAGTGTTGGCAGTTAAAATTTATGTAAATATTCAGTTACATAAGTGAAACTAATTGTAGTATATATGGCACGGAGTGCCTCGTGCTGTGTCATCGCAAATTGTTGGCGCCACAGGCACTTCATGCCCATCTCTAATTATAGTTATATAAGAGTTTGCAACAAGTGATTGAAAGGGTCTCCTCTTTGTTGGGCTGGTGGCAGCAGGATCCTGGCCCAATGCTAGCCAGTGCCCAAGTGGGGATTTGAACTCAGATCTTCCCAGTCCTACTCCAGCCCTAGTCCCTATTGCACGCCGCTTCACAACAATCCTGCAAAGTGGGTCAGGCTGAGAGGTAATGAGAGACCAAGGGCATCTGATGGTTTTCGTGGCTAATTAGGGATGAGAAACTAACTCTGCTCTCAGGGACACCTGTCTCACACATTCAGAAGAAACTGAAGTAAAACCAAGCTAATTAGCAAAGCGGGGCAAGCTCATGTTAGAACAAATCGCGAAATTTCTACCTTTTAAGGGAGCTTTGCTTCTTGGCAGTATCATCCAGTTTGGCCCTTTGTACTCAAAACAGGGTACATGAAACAGATTAGCGACAGTAATTGGATGTTTTTTTTAAAGTTACCGTACATATTCATGGAGCTTCCCTATATTGTTACTTTGTTGTTTATAGATGTGTTATTTGAACCTGCTTTCAAGTGAATCAGACTTTTAATCTGTCCAGCTCTTCCGTTGGCTGGGAGTGGCTCTGGGTTCACTTCAGACTTTGCAACCTGAATTAAATTTAAACAGGAGTTGGGAATTGTGATCAAACCTGGGTAGGACTGTCTACTTACCATGGGCTGCTCCTGGCCCTGCCTTTTTACTTACTTGTAGAAAATTTGGTTCCCACGTTGCATTTCAAATGGCTTTCAAAAGGAGTGCAATTGTATGAGTCCAAGGGGACCTAATCTGGTTTTTTGATGTGTGCTTCAGTTTACATTACACAGGTGGTGGCTCCAGATAGGCATTTTATCTGTAACTTCCACCAGAAAGCTGAATCCAGCCTGTTCAATGGAGCCTGGATTAAGAGTGATGAAATTTAAGTTGTTTTTTTCTGGATATTTATCTTATACAGTATTTCAAACCAAATGGGCCTCCAGTGCAGCTTATGTTGGAGGGTCTCTTATGTACGGGCAAAATACTGATTACAAACTTGAATAGCATTTGTCTGTAAAAAAATGAATATTTGGAAACAAGTATGATTTAGACAGCCCAGAGCTATGCCTCTTCAGCTTTTTGTCAAGGTACCAATTATTGATGCACAGCATCAATGCCTCCACTGTCCCTTCTTGGGGTTGTTTGTTTTAAAATTAGAGTTGGAGTATTTATCTATAGGATACTTTAAAACAGAGGACTATCTATCAGTGAGTTTAATGAGTCTTTGTAGTAAATGTCCCTTAGGTTGTGGTCTGCCTGTGTTAATTACAGGGCAATAACTCTAAAATATAAAATGCAACAATAACAAAAGGAGGGTTAAGGCAGAGGACTATCAGTGAGTTTAATGAGTCTTTGTAGTAAATGTCCCTTAGTTTGTGGTCTGCCTGTGTTAATTACAGGGCAATAACTCTAAAATATAAAATGCAACAATAACAAAAGGAGGGTTAAGAACTAGAACTAAACAAAATAACCTTAGGGAACTACCAAAGGTGTGTGTGTGTGTGTGAAGGTTCAAACCAAAGATCTGAAAACATGGAAACCATTTTTATTCACTGGAATATGGTAATCAGTTAAGCTTCATGAGAGAATGACTTCCACAGTTGAGGGTGCAATGCCTGAATAGTCCCCGTCTGACTTTTCAACATCCTTATCATCGAATGAAGACACTTGCTTTGGACCAGAATCATTTCAGTAAAGTGAGAAATCCACAGGTGAGACATTATTTACCAAAGTACCTTAAAAAAATTATCCCCTTTGAGGGACCTCCACCTCTCTTTGTCGAATATTTCCAACCTGTTTTGATATTTTCAACCATACAGGGCATTGTAGCTGTACGTTTCATGTACAAATCTGTATTTATTATATTTTCTCGGCCTTTACTACTGGCATCCATCACAGTTTGGCATGAGATTGTAAAATATGGGATTCATGTAGAACATGGTTAATATTCGCAATCAAAGATGTGTTGTATTTCCAAAGGATTGGGTCTCGAATCAAGGATTCATCCGTCAGATCTTTACGTTCCGGTATCCTGCAGTGGAAGAGAAACGCGATGTCGCTGGGGACTTCCACGGTATCTCCGTACATGTTGAGAACAGAATGGACAGATGTCTGAATCACTTTTCTTGGGTCAACAACCATCTTCTTGTTATTGAAGTCACCTTTCCTGTTTGGTTCTTTGAAGATGTGCCGAAATACATTCACGCCAGGCACGCCGCTCCAAGATGAGAAGTTGAATGGACCGTTCAAGTCGAAGACATTGTTACGGAAGACGTGGTTTTCAAACAAGAACACTCCAGTCCCTGGATTTTTCTTTTGAAGCCGTTGCATTAGAGATTTCCAATCGGCATCCTTAACAGGAAGGATAATTTCGTCAGCATCAATTAGCAACACATATTTGCTTCTGTACATATTGTGGTAGATGCAGTCATTCAGGGCTGCGATTTGCCCATAGTACCCAATGTCTTTGGCATCCATGGAATGATGCCAGTAAGAGGAAGGCTTAAGGTACAGATCAATGGGCCAGGGAACAATTTCAATGGTCCCTTCAGAGACGTAATATCTTAGGACTTTTTCCATTAATGGGCTACACCTCGTCTTATAAATAATAACTTTCTGTGCTCCAAGTATTTTATACATCTCAATGCTCTGTATGAACTGCAAGATGTTGTTATAGTCTCCAAACATGGTGGAGATGCAGACGGTGAATTCTAGAGAAGAGCTTTCCGCGTTGCGGTTTTTTATCTCAAAAAGTGGTATTAGGGCAAAGTCCGATTCACGAGACGGCCAAATTGACATGTACTGTGGAGTGCAGTTTGGTGGTTCCCCACAAAGGAGATCGGCGGTGCCATAAGGGAATCCAAACCGGTCTTTGTGAATGTCGATCTTCGCCTTCACGATGGTAACGTTCCCACTATTTTGGCAGCAGAGCAAGCAATGAAGATCCTTAACCTTTTCATGATGAATAATACTAATAATGCGGATGAGAGTCCCGTTCCGGTTGTCAAAATAGGGGGCTATGATAAAGCTGTGTTTGTCTTTGAGTCGTGTGATCGTGTCTCTGGCAAGCGGGCCTCTGCAGAAGCGGTCGTAAGATTTGGATGTCCCATATATTTTATACCATGGTGTGCTTCTCTTCCAATAATACGATGCAAAAGATAAGATAAAGATGACAAAGAAGGATGTTCCAGCAACCAGTGGTTTCCAATGAATTAACATTGCCACCTGCACACAATACTTTTGCTGACCTGTCCGTTTGTTATTCCATTTCAGTTAGCCTGCAAAACAGAAAGGAAAAGGACAATGGAATGAAATCATCACTTGTCTGAGAAGATGAGTTGCTGTTTCATTGAGAAGTCTTAGGCACCTGACTCCCACCCCACCTGATACCCAAGGGATAGCTTTGCAAGCTAGTTTGGAGGGATGGCTAGATGTGGTTTAAAGATATACTATACAGAAAAAAACACACTAGCAGTGAGTCGGCAGCAATAATCCTTACTGTCAGACAATTGTACCATAGTTATTTTAATTCTCCTTTATTCTAAAGTATTTTTAAAATTTATCCTTGAGAGGCTAGAAGACGGACCATTTATTATATTGGTAAGAAAACTTGACAAAAATATTTCTTTATCTTCAAATGGCATGAGAAGGAGGTAAGTAAATTATTGGCCCAGGCCAGTTAGCCCTTGTCATGATTAGATGGGTGGTGGCCAGAGGAACGAAGAACAAGCTAGGTATGAAGAGGAAGGCACATTTCCTTCAGTTAACATACTTTTCCTCCTGCAGGTTGCAGTTCAGGCCCCTACTTACTTTCCAGTGACTGATCACAAAGCAAAGCACGTCAGATGCAAGATACAGAGAGGTAGAAAATCACATGTGATGACACATGGACACCTTTCACTATTTTCTGAGTAGCAGTTTTCTAAGTAGGTCTTAAGTCTGAAGTTTAGTTTGAAGTTGCTCATGGACTCATTGATCTGTTTCTTGCACACTGAGTACAAACGTTAATATATTTAAGATTATTAGAAGCTACCTGGAATCCAGTGATTGGGCAAGGCAGGCTGAACGATTGTGTTCTCAGTGGAGAATAATACACTTGCAAAGCAATTACATTATAATGTAGTTGATGACTACACTTGCATTCATGAATGTTATTTAGACACTGAATTATTTTGCACCCATTAAAACAAGGGAAGTGCTCTAATTACTAATTTGGTAGTTTAATAAATACATGCTCCAGTTGCTGCTAACTTGTCTATAAGAAAACCTTTGCCAGTCTGTCTCTGTTTCTTATTTTCAGGGCAAGGAGGAGGTATATGGCAGATTTCTTGCACGTGAGTTGTATGTGTGAGAAATCTGATAATAGTCTCTTAGGTTTCGTACACAAACCTGTGAGGTCTTGTGGGAGTTCCCTACATTGCATCTGCCTTAGCCCTCATGAATCTTAATCTAGGTGACCGTAATAATGAACTGAAAACTATTTGGGGTGCCAAATTCTTTTAAATCTGGTTTTGAGGCTTTAATCACCCGTTTCCCCCTGGGATTAGAGTATTCTTTCGTAATTATTTGGTTGAAATGACAAAGATATTGATATGGGGATGAAATAAGCTTACTTACAACCTCCTCTGGCTAACATAAGTAGCTGTACATAATAAAAAAATTCCTTAATAAACACCCTTAACATTCAATGTTAATATGAGAAATTCAAAACAAAGTATTTCTATTTTAATACATACCAGTAGTTGACATAACTGGAAGACATTTATGGGTTACAGAATGTGTGGAGCAAAATGCTAGTGTAAATAAATCTAGGCTAGACAAAAGACCTTGATTAATAAACAACTTGTTTATTAATCAACAACAGAGAAGTTCAGCTGGTGAAAGGCTGAAGCCAGTGTATAATAGCTTTAATTTGCGTTCCCAGTGGGAACCCATCAGTATGTACAGCTGAACTGATCTTTCTAATAAAGCGGACAGTAGCTTCATGTATTCAAAGATTTATCTGTAGAAACAATAAAAATATTTTTTTTTAAAAAACCTGGAAATAGTTCAAGTGGGCTGGATGTATTTAGAGGAGTAGTGCACTGTATGCTGTATTTCTTTATTTTACATATGGGCTTCCCTTAAAAAATTACAGCACTGTTAATTTCCATTAATAACAGGAAATGTTGAAATAGTCCTATGTAGGGTCTTTTATCTATTTATTAGTATACAGTATTTGCAATCATTCGTATAATCACAGAGTGGCTCACAGTTTCCTTATTAGATGTGCTTCAGTGTTCAGGATGTTTGTTCTCCCGTAACGACTTTTTAATGACTTCAGGTGTTGTAATTCTTTTATATGTTACTGCTGTTTTCATACGTATTTTTCTCACTGCTGTTCTATTTACAGTATATGATTTTTCCCCCTCTGGTATGTTGATTGATATGCTGATTTGGTTATTATCTCTAGGGTTTTTTTTTACATTATTCAGTTATATTTTATTAACTATGAACTGCACTGAAGGAATATGTCCTACCTAAATCATTTAATACTAATCTTGTAACAATGTATCTTTGCAGCCTCAGGAAGATTTTACAGTACATTTATTTTTGTCATGCTCTCCCCCTTCCCTCCACCCGTTCCTCCTTTCGGTTTCAAATTTAAAAACCATTTCCTTGCAACCTCGCCCAAGCAGCTGTAGAGTGGAGTGCCAAAACAGGCCCGTGGGTCACGCCACTGTTTTCACCCCAATTACCAGGCAGGCTGTACAAAGATCCATTTCACATAACCAGTGGTTACAAAAATCATTTTAAATAAGAACTACACTTTATTGAAATCTGATGGATGAATTATTTACACCTAGCATTTTTAAAAAAGAGAAAGGTATTGGCAAAAAGGAACTATTTGTAGAAGACTTGGTAAAATTGGTAAAATCAGTCTGTAGAACACACCCAGCTGCCACAAACATGTAAGGACTATGCTGATTCTGCACCAGTGGAATCAGCAACAAAATGTTGCAGTATTCCATATTCCAGACATGCCCCCTCCCCTGCTCCACCTTTCTCATTTGCTCACACATTGGTCGTCAGTACTGTATATAAGGATGTTAACTTTTGCTCTGTCGTACAAGGACTTACACTTCCCCAGATTTTCAAATCTTCTCCTTCTGTGTGAATTTTTTTCTTTTTTGCTTTGGTGAAGGATTAGCACTTCTGGCAAACGAGATTATTAATTTTTCTTATAAATTATAATTCTGTTTCTGTCTGAGTGCTAAAACGGTCTGCCATCAAACAGTTTGAAGAACAAGGATCCTGGGTGAGACACAGTCTGAAGTTGAGGATCAAATTAGATATTAAGGTGAACACTTTTTCCCTTTGAGTAACATATTTTCGCTCTTGGAATGGGATTTCTTTGCAGGTGTATGCCTTAGAAATTGCAGTAGCAAATTAATCCCTTCTTTATTGTGACCAATGGAGAAGTAAACCATGTTTAATGCAGAGCAGCTAGGTGAGGAAAACTGTTTTTTGTCACTTGAGAAAACACCTCTTCTAAAACCGTTATCTAGTTTTAACTGTCAGTAGGTTTTTGTTCTTCTTTCCTTCCAGGTTTTTAACTGGGAGCTGCTTGTGTAAAAACTGTTGGTGGGGGCGACAGGAATATAGCCTGGAAAGCTGAATTATACCCAAAGGGTGTTAATCAAATAAGAAAAGCAAGTACTGTACTAAGCTTTTCTTTATTGGAAATTATTTGATTGAAGAGGGAGTGCAACGGGCAACAATATTTTGAGGATCTTTGCCAAAATGTTACTTTTCTGGGCGTGATGCAAGCTTGTAACACAGGGCGCTTTGCTCCTGAAACCTGTATAAAGTCTCGTCCCTTAGGCAAGCGGAAATATAAAAAGGAGAGAAGAGGTTTGATGTTGCATTCAGCGTGCAAACAGCAGACTGTGAATCAGTCGCACGCATCATGGCTGTGGTGAGAAACTGTGTGTTTCTCTTTCTGTGACAGCACTTATTTCCAATATGAATACATTATACTGTATATAGGTATAGATTAGCACGCTCAAATCCTGTGCCCTCTTTTGGCTTTTTAAGCAAGAGATGCATTTCTTATTCTTTTTATTAAACGATACACTCGCTAGTGAGCCATTTTTGTCACATGTCGCTAAAGAGGCAAAGCAGGTGTTAAATTGCCGTGTTTACACTGCATCATTCTCTGCCCTGGCTTCTTTCGATTAGAACTTAATCTGAGCTGGAGAATACTTTGCTCTCTAGAAATGCCAGCCATGTTACTTTCACACCCTTATTTGCTAGAATATTTCTGCAGCTACAAAGCAAAGGCAGTGTTAATTCTAACATGAGTGCCCCCTGACTGTAATCGATTCACATGTGTAAGGCCATAAACAATCGGTGAAATAACCCAGGATGACTCTATTTGGGGGGCAAGCTATATTAAGAGGCCTGCACAAATGTTCTTGTAATGGTTTGGAGCAATTTAAAATATATATCTAAAGGGCTGTGCTTTTAATTATGTTTATTATGTGGCACAAACAGTCAATACGATATTTTGCAGAGTCATTCAAGCAAAATGCAGGTCCCTGCATGGTGAACTCCTGATCTAAAGATAGATAGATAGAAAGAGGGCAACTAAGGATAGGAAATAGAAGAGAAAAATAAGTTGTTTCAGTTGGGATATAGAATGACGAAGTTAATCCAAAAGCTGATTTTGAACTGCAAGAGATAGGTTTCTGTTCCTGAGTTCCTAGAGCTAACAAGTGACTGTCTTTCAAAATACTAAAACTGGAAATAAACTCAGAATTACAATCGAAATAATGGCAACATCCATGTACTCACATGAGAAGTGCTTCTATTCCTCAGAGAGACTGATGAAAAGAGAATTTCACTGAAGTTCTGTGATGGTACAAAAAACCAGCTAATACCAGCCAAAGCTCACACCAGTCGGGAAATGTGAACATCTCTATTGTCTGGGTTGCCTGTGTATCAGGCAGGAAACGAGTGACGTTGGTGGAGGAAGCAGAAAATAAGTAGACCACAAGGTAGCTCAGTTTGTCCCAGCAGCTAAAGATAAACAAGTGAAAAACATACACAGGCTAGACTGAAAGCTGCAGTTTTATCGGTGAGCTTTAAAGAACAGGAGTGGCTGTCATTGCTTGTTGCTATTGCGTATGACCTTTTGGCTTCTCTCTCTCTCCTTCTTGCACTGGAGTCGGAAAAGATCTTAAGACCTGATGCAAAGAATAAAGCTTCTCCAATGTTGACACACAAGAGATTGTTCAGGAAGCGTTGGCAGAAAATCAGCTGCCTTGCATGCAGACCAGTGGAGAAGCATGAAAGCTATGCAGTAAGAGATTTGCATTATAAATTTCTCACATTAATTATTTAGAAGACTTCCTGTTCCAGCCCTTTTTTTAAAACCCAGAGTTCCCACAGTCTAATAGATCTATAAAGGCTTAGAGCTTTTATTCTTAAAAGCCTGGGTTTGAATTCCTATGCACTCCCTAGTGTTTGGAAAGATACTTACCATTGTCAAAAATAGTTTGTTCCTATTACTCGTTACAGCATTTTAAAAAAAGAGTAATTCTTTGTTGTAAGTTCTTGCAGTGTTATAAAAGCACCTTGCTGTATTACTCATTTTAATAATTAGAGTGGTCCCGACCAGATAGGCGGGATATAAATTAAATAAATAAATAAATAAATTTTAAAAAATAAAAATACTATGTTAAGATTAATAAGTTGCTAGCTGCGACTTGCTATATTAAGCAACAGGATTTCACCCAGCAAATGTTATTTTTTATGCCAATGAAATAATCTCATTCTCACTCATTGCATTGTTTCAATGATGTGACACACACACACACACACACACACGGCTACAGATAACGTGGGACTTATAATGTACTTCCAAGCATTTAGGTTCACTCATTTCTTGCAGTGAAATAGGGTGGCCACATTTTTTTTCCTCACACGTCAAGACTTTGTGTGCAAAGAGTCCTAAAATAATAAAGGGGGCCGTAACAGGTGCAATCCTGAACATACATTGTGCTTTTAAAATGAGATTTGAACAGGTGTATACTGAACAGTCACCGTGAAACAATCCAGCCAGGACTGAAAACAAGGCCAAATAACTTTGCTTTTCAAAGAGCCTCTTTCACAATTGGCCAATACTTTAGTGAGAGTGTAAAGAAATGATAAGAAAGAAATATGTTGCAATTGGAACTTGAGAGAGAAAAAAATTCCCAGAGTCCTTAAATGAGGAAAAAGCAAACTGATACTTCACCGAATTAATTCACAAGCACTTGAGGCTTATTGCATTTGGCTACCCAGTAAAACATTACCCAAGTAAATTACTGTAGGACTGGTTAGCGGTTACACCAGGTACAAGGGGCCAACACAAACTATAGACCAGAGATTTGCTCCCTTATGGGTTTGCCTCTCTAATAAAAACCAATAAAAATGTCCATTGAAAGTTTTCTGACAATTTATTCTAGAGACCAGCAATTTACTGCACGGAGAAAAAAACAGTTGTTTATTATTGGAAAGAAATGCTTAAAGGCTTAGAAAGGTATTTGTTTTCTATTACTTTTAAGAGCTTTGATATTTCAGAGATTTATTTCCTGCTTTTGATTGTGCCTTTTCAGGCCATAGGTTCCTGCATTATTATATTGTAATTAAAACATTCTTTTATTGCACCTTTTATGTTCCTGGAGTTTGGATTGTAAGAACGGTTGCAATCCATTTTGAATGGTTACTTTTTGGATTTTTATCTTATGCACATGGAATACAGAAGCAATGTAAATGAACAAAGCATGGAGAAATAGGCAAGCTTTTGTTGCTTAGAATCATTGCAACAGTGGTGCAATGATTTCCTCCATAGATGAATTTGGTTAGGACCAGAAATGATGCTTATCAGGTTTTATTCTATTAACCCTCAAAGGGGACAAATGCCAGCTGTAATAACCCAGGCTTCCGACTCTTCCTAAAGGTCTCTGGCAGGCGTCCCTAATCAGGCTGTGGCCTTGGCAGGACCGGGCCATGGAGACAGATCTCGCCCAACCCCCGCATACACTCCCCCCACGGCCCGCACAGGTGCCCCACACCCACCCGCTCATGCGAGCATGAGCTTGCCCCGCCCACTCACATGTGCACCCTGCCCACCGAGGAACGCAGGGGTGCCCCACCCCCTGCCCACAGACACCCTCCCCCCCCACAAACCGGTCTGCGGTTTGGGAAAGGTTAGGGACCACTGGTCTATAGGAGTCTTAAGGGGGGTGCTTGGGCATCAGACTTTCTGACCTGAGAGATGTGGTCCTTATCTTTCACAGTTAGATGGAATACATGGACAACATCATCTCCCTATTGCTTTAGCTTCTTCTTTCTAAGCAGCAGAGATGGGGATCTGTTAGAATGATTTGCCCTAACCTTCCCATCCATGACAGTATTAGGGGAGATGTCAGTGACCTTCTGTCCTCTGATATACCACAGAACCACGAGATCCGCAGGGATCAGATGCAAGGCCCCCCACCCATGCTTCCCAGATAGGAGAAAGTACGCCACATGGTCTGTGGCTCCCTCTAGTGGCCAGTTCTGGTAAATACACCCTGGAAATACGTATAAATATGTATTTCTGGGGTTTTTTAATTAGTATTTTCAGGCAGGAGATACCGTATTATTCCGTATATAAGATGATACTTTTGTCTAAAATCTTTAGACTAAAAATTGAGAGTTGTCTTATACACGGAAGTAAGCTGAGGATGGAACAAAACAGCCTATACCTTGCCTCTGCAAATAGGTTGCCTTCAATCAGGAGGCTTAGCTTCCGCCAATCACGAGCCTTATGTAACTGATGTCAGCTGATGCTGAACAAACCAACTGGAACACACCTTGTTGGAGGTGGAGCCTATGGGCAGTGCTCAGATGCAACAGGGATTCATAATGTCTGAGTGTTCTGAGCTCAGAGGCTGAATACTCAAAGCTAAGTTAAGATTTCTTAATGTTGGGTTAGAAAAGTGAGGGCTGTGTGTCTTATACATGGGAGTGTCTTATGCATGGAAAAGTGAACCAGTGGATACTGGTCCCGCAGATACGGGGCCCTACTGTATTTACATTCTGTAAGCATGTGGCTTGTTTGCGCACTCTGCTTTAGCATTCTTGGAAGCATTTGTCTGACCACTTTAACCTTTTCTCCTTCCAGCCTGGTCAGACCTTCAAGGAATTCCTTCACTTCGTCAGACCCTCGGGAAAAAAGAACACCATTCCTGGGACCTGGCAGGCTTTTGTCGGTACTGTACCTTATATACAATTTCAAACATACAATTCACATTCAGAAGGACCAGGTTATTTTTGAACGCAGAAGGTTTGCACTCTTAATGATTTTGAATAGATTTCAAATGTGGATCATTCTTGTAAAAAAAAAAAAAAAGATGGACTTGCCAAACGGGTCCAAGGTCTCTACCACAGCCGTCCATCTGTTTTCCTTCTGTCTAGGGACTTGGGCGACTGAGGGGTAGAGTTCCAGGGGAGATAACACTGTTCGTTTCTGCTTGCTCCATTGTCAAATGTCTCTATGCTTAGAGGAGGGCAGTAACGGCAAAGATAAAAGGAACAGCTGGGCCAGGAACTTGCTGGATTAAACCTCTGAAAGCAAGCGGGTCTAGGACTGAACGGTGGTTCCACAGCACTGGGTAGAAGTTTAGAAGCAGATTCTGTTGTTTCCCCCGTTCCAAAAACATATCACAGAAAAAAACTGGTACAATTTTTTACATTAAAGTTTTTTTAATTAGTGAAACAGTTATTATCAATGTAACAAGCTGAAAAATACAGCAACCTGATAGAAGACTGAGGTAACAAAATACTTTGCCAAAAAACCTAAAAGACTCCCACACAAGGGTCAAAATTTTTAGTGGTTATAATGAGTGAGACAGTTCACAAGAGTTTTTTTAGAAAGAGGCCTTACACAAATGGCATGCAGTGGGCTGCTGGAATACAGCTAAAAAGTAAAAGTAAAACAAAAGTAGTGCAACAGTTCTCACAAGAAACAAATTGAAATATAGAAACTGGTTTACATCACAATGTGACAGATGGGTCGATAACTGAATACTATTCTCTATGCCTTGACTGAGTTCTAATTGGAAGAACATGCATTTTGGCACTAAGTTTACTTTTGAATTACACACACGCTAATAAATTAATAATAAATAATATTGCCTCAATGTAGCTACAGGTAATGGTGATCCTGAAAAGAACTTGACAGGAACACTTTGTATAAAATGTGAAACAAAAAAAAATATATATATCTAGCTTTGTGCACTTCTCACAGCAGACGAGCATTCTGATCCAAGGATCTCTCCCAGGTGCAAGATTACGGGTGTGATCCTCTCCTACCTGTGCCCCCTGATAAATTTCATAGGAGGAAGCTGGCAAACGGGGCCAGTGTCTACCGTAAAATCACCTGAGCTGCTTGTGAGTACACCAGCTCCGTGGGTGGGAGCCCTGGATCAGGTTGCCAAATTGGGGTACCCTCTGACATAAGATGATATTTTAAGTAGTACCGATATGCATTGCTTTATTATTTCATTGTAAAAAGGTGCACTTAAAGAAATCAGTAGCTAAGTAGACCTTCATGCTTTATAGGACAAAGAACCACTGAACTGTGGATTATGCTAGTAACAATTTTCATATACTGTTATATCACTTATTTATTTCATCTTCTCAAAAACACTGCGCAGCCAGGCTGCCTGTATTGCTGAAGTACTGCACCATGTTATTTCATTTTCACGCAAGCTATTATTATACAACTCTTCCGTGTCCATTGGATGCAATACTGTCTGTACAACAGATTCACAGTCAGCTAGTTGCTTCACCAGTTCTTTTTTAAAAAAAAAAATCAACAGCACCCAGAACATTCCATATGCAGATTTGCAGAGGGACGTTCAAGTAGCTTAATTTCAAGAGACATTTCCTTCCCTCTGCAGATGCATGCAAATTCCATTCATTACACAAGGAGAAATCCTCTCCACTTGGGTGTTACCATGACAAGTATTCTTTTCATTCATATAATGTCATTATCAAGGCCCCTGCTGATTTCTAGTCCAATTTTTCTTTTGGCCGAGGAGACTGATGTAAATCAATGGAGGGCTGGTGAGTTTGGGAGGCATGCTTTTCTTGAGACACAGTAGCTGCTTTTTAAGCTCTAGGTATCCTTTCCTTGTTTCTCTGTGAAGCAAAATTAAATGTAAAATAGGGATTTTTTTTTACAAGCACTTGTTGTGAAAGTGTGTGACAGGTGAAATGTTAGTTAAGGTTACTCAGGAGGAAGTCCTGTGGGACTCTATAGGACTTGCCACCCTCATTGGTATTCCTGCTGTTTACGGTTGGTAGCTGCTTCTGCAGTCCCAGACATTAAACGACGACGATCAGACCATTCTTTTGGCTTCGACAATCCAGGCCTTATGACTGTTGCCGCAATCATTTCAGTTCGCCTTTCTAATATATACCAGTACGGACCTCGTTAATGATGAAAACGTAGGTAACAAGATGAATCCCCATGTCTTAAAACTCACTTGCAGGTAGTTTACATTTGTTTTATCCAAAATACTTTTGGGTAGAGGGCCTGGAACTTTGTGCTCTAGCTTACGATCTCTAAGTAACTAAGGGCTTAAATTACTCTACAGGGTGTTCTCTTCCACCATCAGAACACCAGTTAACGTCCACTGCATTGTGTTTTTGACAATCACTCAGTCATTACATCACGATTCCCTTTGTGTGGCAATAGGTCTTTGGCAGCATAAGAAGGCCTAGTCCTCTCTCTCTCTCTTAACTGTTTCTCAGGTTCAAGGAGGCAGGTGCTCCTTGCCTTTCTGGCATCCTTACAGCCTGAACAGGATAAACTGGTGCCAATGGATGAGAGGCTTTGATTTAATACAATGGTAAAAGGAATCATAGTGTTCTTCTACATAATGTCCTGTATTGCTCTGTTTAAAATCCAAGATATGCCAAAGCAGGGGGACAGATGGCGACCCAATGTTACTTTCCTAGTTCGAAAGGGATGGTATTGGGTTTTCAGCATCAGCTGGTAAGGGTGAGGCCACATATGGTTATTTTTCCTGTGTTCTAAAGAAGATGTCGGGATGTTGTGAGTGCTTTACAAAGTCTCTCTGACTTTTGATGGTGAATCCAAAGAGGACAGTCATACTCAAGGACAAACCTTATTGTGTAAATTGCAAGCATCTCTCTGCAGAAGAGCGCTATTTGAAATCACACTCTAACGGACAGTGATGGTTGAACGGAAAACCTGGTTCGTCGACCTATCGTGGAGTCCTTTTGTTTCCTGTTCCATTCTCACCGCTTCACTGCTATGATGTCCACAGCTGAGGTATGACCAATCTGGTAGAGCAGAAAGACCACTGGGGGAACACTGGCCTGACAGAATACAATCACAGCCACCTCCACAAGCTTGTTTCACCATCAGAACTATGACACCGGCATGACAACATGGCAGTTGATCGACCTCCATATTATCATCAGCAGCCATCAAGACATTTTACATTGAAGGGGAAAAAAAATGAAAACAGAAATATATTTCAAAGACCATCCTTAAGAGCCATTCTGATCATATGCTTATCATAGCATCCCTCCCAATGTGAGGCTTTTCCAATCACCGGCCATTGGTAGCTTCCTGCCTTGCATTGAAAGGATGGTTCAGCTGCTCTCTGGCTTACAGGCAGTGGCTGCACGCTCACTTGGTCAAGGGCCACGGTTCAGATACGGGAAGATGATGAAAAAGGAAGGTGATTCCGTCGTTTCTTGTTTACTGAATTCCCGTTCAAGTAAACGAGCCTGGGAAGGGCTTAAGAAAGTGGCCAACTTCCTCTCCCTTCAGCAGGAAAGCGCTCCTTTCACCTCTTCTGCTCAAGCGGAGGCTCTGTGAGCCGGGAGGCCCAAAAGCACCTCCGAGGGCCCGTGACGTTTGCGCGCAGCAAGATGCTTTTGAGGAACAGCACCCACCGTTAAAAGAACAACAAACAAAATAATTTAAGGCAGATATTTCTTGTGGGATGAAGGAACCCAGGAGGAGCCTCATAACACCAAGTGAATTTCAGCAGCTACAGACCCTTCGTTTGCCTGGGCACTTCTAGATACTTAAACAGAAAATAGCACAGCCAATTACAAGAAACAAACACTAAATTAACAAGTGGTTTATCTTGTGCCAAAATACACATTTCCTAAATAGATCAAGTATGAACATCAGTTTTGTCCCTAGGTTTGATATAAAATCTGAGGCAGCCACATTGCCAAGCAACTCAGTGCACTTCAGGTTATAAAAATGTTGTTCCACAATGTCCTATTCTAATTGACACCTTTTGCAGCAAGTTAACACTGTCAATCGTTTTGTGCATTAGAAATAATTGAAAACCCAACATGGGCCAAATGTTCTTCAGTCACATACAGCAGCTCAACAATAAAAAGAGCAGTTTAAAAAAAAAACGGGGGAAAGAAAAAAAATCTGCAGAAGATGTGATGCACAGTTTGTGGCAGAACAGAAATCCACAGCCGTCTGTGACCACAAAGCTAAAGTCAAGGTCTCAAGGATCCTGCGGCGAGCAGGTTGTTTCTTCAACCAGTCTAAATCATCTTTCTCATCAGTGCACTGGGTTAGATCCTGTCCTAAGGACAACATTCACGTTCTGCTTTTAGAAGCTGTGTCATAATTACTTTCAAGTTATGTAGAAAAGTGCTGAAGTTGCTGTTATGGACAGCTGGCTCACTCTGGAGTCTCCTTCCTCCGCTCTCCTGTGGGATCCGTTTCCCATCTGCAGTTTGGCACTTGGAAGTTACACCACATACTGGAGCATGTTACTCGAATGACATAAGGTTTGCAGGTACCTAGCAAAGCCAAGCAAAGAAAAACCATCAGCAATAATGAATGATTCTACTTGAATTGCCCAGAAATCCAGAGATATAATCTTGTGTTTGCTAGGTCTGCAAAAATCACAGAAAACCCCACATTTGCTGATGTGAGAGCAGCTACTGTTTGCCACATTCCTTCCTGTGTTTCATTGTTATGTTTTCACACACTTTCTCTCACAAGCCCAATATGGGCTTGAGCTGCACAAGAATATAAGTGTGAAAGGGACTTATATTCTGAAGGACCAGGAGGCACTTTAGCAGCATGGGTGGTTGCCCTAGCAGCGTGGCTAAGCGGATACAGATTGGGTGTGCCATAACAAAAAAAAACCCTAAGCTCACTGCTTTCCTTATCTTTGTTTAACTTAGAAACTGACCTGATTCCTTAGTCTGGCAAAGGCCAGAAAGGTTGAAAATCCAGGCCTTTTTATTCATTCAACATGCAAGCAGCAGTTAATTTAACATGCTCAATTTGGCATACACCCAGCAAACACCACAAACTTGAGGAAATTTTCAAAATCCAGACTCAATCATACACCCAGTCAAATTCTGCCAGGTAGTTTTGCACTGAATCTACTGCAGTTAGTAAAAGGCTTTTACATCCCCGCTGGAACCGAATACAAAGATCTTACCTGAGGCCGGTTGCTTCTGCAGGCGTCATCCAAATGTTTGTGCCACAGTATTGCATGAAATCTTGAACCAGTCTGAAACTTGTAAACATTGCCTGCGAAACAGAATAATAAAATAACAGCAAGGAACAAAAAGACCAATTTTAAGAAGCTAAAGTTTTATTTGGCCATAGGATGAGCTTTGGGAATTACAGATGAGTGCTGGAAGATTGTTAGACCGACATCACCAGAGCACAATGTTCAAAAGAAATGTGGCACTAATAACAAAGAAGGGAAAAAAACTATCTAAACTTTAGAGTTTAGCCAGCCGCCTTCTCTTTGGCTCAGCCTTATGGGGTTGGTGCTGAAGAGGCACCTGAAACATTCAGTATGATGGTTTTATATCACTGGGTTGAAGAGGCAGCAAGATAGTGGCAGAGCGTTCAGGAGGATATTGTTTAAAAAATCACACATATGCTCAGTGAAAGGGGAAAAGGCCCGTTCCCTTTTTGCGAAACAAAGTCCAGCAGATCTTCATGGATGCTTGCCCCATGGTGTCATTTTCCAATTTAACTTTTTTTTTAAGGCAAATTATTAAAAACAGCCCATGTTCTTGTTGCCTTGTGTAGATACACCTACCAACTTCTTCCATCTGACAGAATGGACCCTATTCCCCCAAAGCTTCTGCTGCAAGACTTTCTATCATAACAAAAAATAAGACAAATGCAGAATTTCCCAGCACATGGGAAAGACATGGATTTTTAAAATGCCTACCTTTATCTGGGTTATTTAGCTGAAAAATATCTGGGTGTTCAGGATCATCCGGTAATGCTACCATCCAGCCTACAATGGAAACTTTTTTCCCTGGAGTAGATTTATACTAGAAGAGAAAAGAACAAACAAGTATAATGATAAGTTTGGTTGTGCTGCCATTCTAGGGGGGTTCTTTTTAATATATATATTTTTAAAGGGACCAGCAAAATAATTCCTCTGGGCAAACGCAGGGAAGGGCACTATTGCTGTTGACATGTGCCATCCCCCAAGACTGGACATACCAGTGGTTGAGCTACAGAGTCAATCACGTTATTTGCTTACATGCTTTCTTTCAGTGCCTCTTAATGACTTTGCTCCAAAATAAATCAGAGTAGATCCTGAAAGGGTGACCCAGTATCTAGTCCATGAGGAAAGCTGGAAAGAGAAATACAAGTCTGTTTGTACACGCACTGAAAATGAACATTCTGGCGAAAGCTCAAGAGAGGAGATGTTTATGGCCAACTCTCTGAAGATAGGCTGCTAAGACGCAAGATCACGCTCTGGCCAAAATCCAACCCATTGTTCTGCTTTCAACTCCCAAAACAAGGTGAAACGACGCAGTTATTGCTAAGGATCTTATCCTCAGTGTTTTCGAAGAGTGAGCTCTGATCATCCATGCAAGTGTATCCAGACGAAAACAGAACAAATAAATTGAAATAAAAAAGGCACCTTAAACATTGTTATATTTCAGCGTGAGCTTTCATGGTTTGCATCCCCTTCTTCAGACATATAAAAGCTCACACTGAAATATAACAGTTTATCTTACAGGTGCCACAGTAGGGGAAAGCACGGCCATGGTCGCAAACTGACTTACGGTAGGCTTCCTGCCTTCCTTCAGTAATGTCTTCCTTTTCAAAGGCCCTTCCATGGTAACAACTCCAGTGGAACTCCCTGAAGTGCAGCTGCAGGCGCCTGTTGGGCTGAAACAACAAATGCCAACACGATGGTGAGAACAGGCAGGTACACCCACGATTAAAGTGTGCAAAATCAGCAGTGGCTTTTTTCAGGCCTCGGTTTGTGCTTCCAACCTTTTTCTAACCATGGCTCCTTAAGAGTTAATTTTTCTTTTTTTATATATAGGTGCTGTAGTCTATGATCATTATTAAACATAAAAATGCCTGACAAGAGATCTTTACTAAAACTGTCATGGCATGATTACCGCAAGAACCCTCATCTTCAGTTACAAGGACCACTTGATCACGTTAACCAAAATAATAGCTACAAGGGGCTTGAAGTGTATTTTTTTTTTCATACGACAGAAGATATTCCAGGATCTCCCCTTACAGATATTGGTGGAGTCACTGTGAGTGACAAAAGCAAAGTATAAGGAGGCATGTTCACCCATCTCTCTTGCATGACTCCAGGTGCCCCAGCTTTTGTGTCTGTGGGAGCGCAACAAAACCTACCAAGTGTGTCGTGGGCTCTTAGAAAGTGGGCCTAGTGCCCAGTCAGAGTGCAGAAAGTGGTTCTCAGCTTCAGGAGGGAGGAAACTACACTTTGATTAAATAAACAATGCACTGATTCTGTTCCATCAAAAATATTAGTATCCTAGCCAATGCAAATAACAAGATTTTGAGTGGTGTGTACTTTAAAAAGGGCACAGAAATGGGATGAAATACGAGCAAAATAAGGATTGAAATGGGATATGTGTTTGAGATCAAGATCATTGAGAAGATGAAGCGTATTTTCCTATCCAGGGGATTCACTTCATTTTTTTCAGGGTTTTCCCAAGGCATCCAAAAAAAGTAATCCTAGCAAAAGAGTTTAGTCATAAGGAGGCAAAGAAGCAGCAGAAGCCATGAGAAGATGTGCCAGGAAGAACTAACCTCTTCTTCTTCTTAGACCAACTCGTGAGAACAACTATAAGATGCTTCGCCTCTATTTACACCTCCCCACCAAAGTCTCATAAATATCTGCGTTTTACAGATATTTAGTCCAATATGGGATGTATTCACCACAAGGCTACTATTTGTTTCATCACTGCCACGGAAAGGTATGTTTTTCTTCTATTTGTTCTTATTTAAGACAGTATACCTCTTGTCAGCCGCCGAGCGAATGACAACACTAATGGGGCGGGGTATAGAAAGGGAAATAAGAAAATAAGTATACATACCTTGCTAAATAAGCTGAGATTCGAAGCCCTATCCTTACGGAAATAAGTGCATTACTTTAACATAGCCATAAATAACCATGGGGTGTCGAGTTAAGCATATGCCAAAATCAACGCACTGAAATAGACTTTTTTTCCTAAAAATTTAAAGTCTGGCTGGATGGAGTGCCCTCAATTAGTCTGCATTTCTCAGCATAACAAAGAAGAACAATGGCCAGTTACTAATAATGAAGCATGTTTATATGCAGGGTGGCACAAAAACATGGGTAAAATCATGCTTCTGGTGAGGCAGAAGCATAGATGAATGGAAAACTAAACAGCCTCCCTACTGCTGGCAGCTCTTACTAGCATGAAAGGAAAGTGTGAAGATGGAAGAAAAGAAATTAGTGCTGCTGGATACAAAGCTTTCTTAATTAGCCCAGAGGACGAGAGGTTGGAAGCAGGAAGTCATATCATGGTCCAGAGAGAAAAGAGACCCACCACCGGCAGCTAATTGTACCTGTAGACACAGCTCCGACTTCTGGGAGAATTCCGAATTGGTACCCGCCAGTTGGGCCCCAGTGTGGCGTATAACCGACCCCTGTTTATAAATTTACAAGTGAGTTCTTTTCTTACCATGCATATAATTGTGGTAACATTCAACAAAAACAAAACATACAAGCTGGTGTGGGTTACACATTGAGTCTGATGGGACAGGTGCTCTTGAGTGAATTGTTTCACTGCTTGTGAGTTAGTCCTTAAAACCTACGGGCGAAGCAGGCAGTAGTGAGCAAACGAAAATGGTGCACATCAGGCAGTTAAAAGAAATGACAAAAGGAAATCCGTGAAGCTGCTTCTGACTCTATGTCTATAGTTCTCTTCCTTTTATTGCTGAGGTGCGTGTACGCTCTGAAGAAAGGCCGTGGAAACCTCAGAGCTTTTAGGAATGCCACAGTGCAGGGTTTTGCATCGCCCTCGTGAAAAATCATGAGAAATAAAGCAACCGCCAAAGAACAAACTGAAAGGCTTGGAACCTATTTGCAGTTGGGGGGGTCAGCTGTGGGGCGTGAGAAGCAAGGACGAAGAGACTGCACCTAACTAGGTACAGAGGGCTTATTTTCATCAACACCGAATAAACACAGATGGCATCAAAATGATTACTATCAGATCAGATCTGGTTGCTCCCAAGCAGGTCTAAGCCGGGGCACATCTCTTTTTGAGGAAAAAATGTACCTACATTGAAGTAATCGATAGAACTGTCTTTAACATAATACTTTGTCCAGCAGACGGTGTTTGAAGTGTACAAGTCTGTCCCTGAGTATCTCCCACATGATTCTCCCTGCAATTTACTTGTGATAAAAACTCTGGACTACTTAGTTCAAACATACTTGATAAAGTCAAATACATTACATTAGCTGAATGAGATACGTAGCTGTTCAGGAAGCACACAGAGTGCTTTGAAGTTTGACCATGAGGAATATTCTCTCAGGCCGAACTAACTGGCTACAACTGATAGCAAGCAGTTGCACACTGAAAATGCTGTTCGTTTTTTTTCCCCAGGGTGAGGTTAAGAACTCCTCAGCAGAAGAAACCAGAGAATAAGCTGCCCCTTGTAGAGTAGCTAAGGGGCCTGCCTGCCTCCGTCACAAAACCATCACCTTTGAGGGTCATAAGTGGAGAAAGATGAGGAGGAGCAGTATGGATGAAAAATAACATCCTTTCTGAGAGGAGAAAAATCAGCTTGAATCTGGTAGCATTTAACCTGGATTAACGTAACTGCAACCTGCTTTGTTTGTTTAAAATATTTTTGTCCCATTTTTCTCCTTAAAAAGGACCCAGGGCAGCTGAAATCATTGAAAGATAATATTTAAAAGCTAAAAACAGTACATAGACAAATACTTAAAAAGGATCAAACAAATACCACACTAAAAATGGTAAACAAAATCAACACCAAAACCACATTTAAAGCAACAAGGCACGCTCTCCATTTAAACCCCTTCCTAGACGACCAATCACTAAGGGACTGCCTGTCTGAAGAGAGAGATCTTTCTGTTCTAAGACTGTTACAAGAAAAAATGCTTTATAGCGAAGAACACAGAATTTGATAGCCCACGGGTATTCACCACCACGGTCTGCAACGTCACACGGAGGAGAACCACACATCCTGGACTATGATTATCCTGAGCCGACAAGGTTTTGGTTTTGGCATAAATACTGTGTGCCAAGGTAACAAGGGCTGGACAGCCTTGCAGCAAAACCCTGAACTCAAGTGGTCTATTGGCCCGTTCTTTTAGAAGGCCAAGTGGCCGTACTCTGTTGGGAAGCGTAAGGTGTCTTTGACAACGCTGTCTCGTTGAGTCTGGACATAAGGTGTGTCTAGAATTACAGGGTCTGTGAGGTGGAACCTTTTGATAGCAACGTTCAGCACGCTGACTTGCAAGTTATACTGGACTCTGCAGGGAGCAGATAACAATGGGCAAGGCAAGCCCTCACATAAAAGTGATCACCATTAAGTAAAGGCCTGGCAAGACACCAGAACCACAGACTTTGCTGTGAACCCTTGACGGCTTTTCATGACCTCAGAGGTTCAGAACGAGACAGCAGAAGTGTCCTCTTAAGATAAAACTGAGTATTTCCTGAATGATTTGTCAATCGTTTAACTACACTTCCCCCCCCCCGACAGCTGCATGACAAAGTTCAAGACCAATGGCTATGCACTGAGATGTGCAAAGTTTGAATTGATCAATGGATTGCCCCATTCTACCCTAGATAGTGTCTATTAAGCAGAGGCAGAAACATGCTCATAGGAATGTAACTGTTCAACGCGGCAGAACTTGATTAGCTTAATGAGGATGCTTTTCTGTACATGACATTTCCAGTACACAAGGCAAGGCAAAGCTTGGAGAGATGATCAAGACTAGTCAAGCGAACCTGGAAGGTCCCAGATCGTATACCGCAATATGGAATAAATAAATGAGTGAAGAGTCAGGGAGCACCAATTAGGATACATCTGAAATCCCAATCTGTTGGTGCCTTTCTAAAGATGGTGTTGTAGGCAAACAAACTTAGCATGTGGATTTTCGCTTAAAGACAAAACTGAACTGGATGTCATGCTACCTGGTTAAGATGGATTGGGGAGTGTTTGTTCTAAAGCTCAATGGTATTAAAAAATCTACATTTGTTGCTGGGCACGTCTGGTGACAAGAAACAACTTTCTGAACAGCTGTATGAAGCACAGAGTCTAAGGAACACAGGCACAAACTCACACACCCAGTATATAAGGGCACACTGGGTTTACACTCATACTTAGGTATCTCATAAAGGCTGACTGTATGGCCATATTCTTCTTCATATCACTGCATCACCAGATCAATGACTTAAAGCATCAACTTTTTTTTATTATTATTATTATCCTGTAATTGAAACTTGGCTCCTAAAGACTGTTTTTACACGTAAACTGTGCTGAAATATAGCAATGGGGCTGTGTTACAATCCACTAAAGGTCACAGTGCGTTGGCAGAGCGGGCACTCACCTTTCAAGTCCCGAAGAAGGCTCCTCACTAAATTCTGAGCTTTCACTGCTTCCTAAAAGAGAAAAGGAGGACACCGTGATGTCAACGGAGCAGATAAACTGGGCGAGGAGAGTCCATGCAGAGAGCACACCATGGAAGCCAGATGTAAGAGCCCAGTGTGAAAAGGGATGCTAGAACTCGCTCCTGTGTTCCTGCTAAGAAGGTGGTGTCCTCACCAACGCTGGTTTTCTATGTGTGAAATATTACCAAATGTGTGCTCCAGTTTTTCCTCATTGGCGCACAGAACATAAAAGTGGTCTCTCTATAATACCATCTCATTAACATACAACTTTTGTGTATACGCATCATTTATTCCAGTCAACAGACCAGAATCGCACTTTTGTGCTGAGATATAATCACAACAGCCAAAGGTGAAAGGACAAGACGGCAAAGGAATGGTTGATTTTCCGTTAAATCATGAACAAAGAACAGGAAATATTAAGCAAGCAACCGTTTAGTGCTATGAGAAACCAACCTGATGCCTTGCCTCTACTCATATGTTATGAGATCGAGACTTTAAAAAAACAACAACACACAACCAAACCTTTTTCGCTAAATTTACTGAAATGGAATTTAAAATTGTAAACACATCAATTTAAATGCATTTTCTTTCTCAAACTTTTTTGTTCAGATTTTCTTTTGTTTGGGTGTGCAGTTGTCAAGCGAACCTGGAAGGTCCCAGATCGTATACCGCAATATGGAATAAATAAATGAGTGAAGAGTCAGGGAGCACCAATTAGGATACATCTGAAATCCCAATCTGTTGGTGCCTTTCTAAAGATGGTGTTGTAGGCAAACAAACTTAGCATGTGGATTTTCGCTTAAAGACAAAACTGAACTGGATGTCATGCTACCTGGTTAAGATGGATTGGGGAGTGTTTGTTCTAAAGCTCAATGGTATTAAAAAATCTACATTTGTTGCTGGGCACGTCTGGTGACAAGAAACAACTTTCTGAACAGCTGTAAGAAGCACAGAGTCTAAGGAACACAGGCGCAAACTCACACACCCAGTATATAAGGGCACACTGGGTTTACACTCATACTTAGGTATCTCATAAAGGCTGACTGTATGGCCATATTCTTCTTCATATCACTGCATCACCAGATCAATGACTTAAAGCATCAACTTTTTTTTATTATTATTATTATCCTGTAATTGAAACTTGGCTCCTAAATACTGTTTTTACATGTAAACTGCGCTGAAATATAGCAATGGGGCTGTGTTACAATCCACTAAAGGTCACAGTGCGTTGGCAGAGCGGGCACTCACCTTTCAAGTCCTGAAGAAGGCTCCTCACTAAATTCTGAGCTTTCACTGCTTCCTAAAAGAGAAAAGGAGGACACCGTGATGTCAACGGAGCAGATAAACTGGGCGAGGAGAGTCCATGCAGAGAGCACACCATGGAAGCCAGATGTAAGAGCCCAGTGTGAAAAGGGATGCTAGAACTCGCTCCTGTGTTCCTGCTAAGAAGGTGGTGTCCTCACCAACGCTGGTTTTCTATGTGTGAAATATTACCAAATGTGTGCTCCAGTTTTTCCTCATTGGCGCACAGAACATAAAAGTGGTCTCTCTATAATACCATCTCATTAACATACAACTTTTGTGTATACGCATCATTTATTCCAGTCAACAGACCAGAATCGCACTTTTGTGCTGAGATATAATCACAACAGCCAAAGGTGAAAGGACAAGACGGCAAAGGAATGATTGATTTTCCGTTAAATCATGAACAAAGAACAGGAAATATTAAGCAAGCAACCGTTTAGTGCTATGAGAAACCAACCTGATGCCTTGCCTCTACTCATATGTTATGAGATCGAGACTTTAAAAAAAAAAACACAACCAAACCTTTTTCGCTAAATTTACTGAAATGGAATTTAAAATTTTAAACACATCAATTTAAATGCATTTTCTTTCTCAAACTTTTTTGTTCAGATTTTCTTTTGTTTGGGTGTGCAGTTAAAGTAACAGCCATCATAGTTAGGATGATACCTACATCTTGGAAGGCTAAACCCTTCTCAGCTTGGTTTCCATTGCTAGAGAATAGCTTTGTGTGACCGGTTAGGGTAGCTGATAAAGGACAGTTTCCCACATTCAGGTTACTGACAACCACAGTGCATCATGCATCCATTAAAGCAATTTCTTGCAAACGGAGGTTCACGCCATTGTATACCAACCTCTAAATGAGAAAATCTTGTATTTTTGGCTGCTGCGGGTCTCCCAGAATTCTTATTTTCTACTCAAAACATCTTTGATCTTCCTAACCTTTTCCCTTACCCTGACACCCGTTATCTGTAGCCAAAGCTGTGTTTTCGGCTGTTTTCCAGATAACCTCCTCACTTGTTTCTCCAAGTGGGTTTCCATTCACCTGCTTTCTAAAGTGATGCCCCTCACACCCTGAGGCTTTTCAACAAGTTTCTCTTCATTTTGTGCTGACGGAACCACACACTGACCGAATCCTCCCCATACAGACAGCTGCCACATTCTAAGAAAACTAGAGTTACTTCTTCGTAAAAGGCTAACAATCTGCAAGTGCGTTTGATGTAAATTTGCCGCAGAGATTATGTGTCGTGCAGGTGTCTAAGAAAGGGAAAAAAATGCACCCGAGGTCCCTTTCACAATATGTTTCTTTCTACTCTTGATCAAGTCAATTAATTGGCCTTTTCCAAATTTCTGGGTGCCTCTCTGAACTTCAAAAGTGCAAGAGACAGACAAGCAACACCCTTTTATCCGAGCCATTGAATACTTACCTATGGAAATACCATTGGTGAAAACAGAATTTAATGTGTGGTTTCTGACAGGACTGTGGGATTCTAGCACACTGTCATCCAGCAGGTGGCGCGGTTTCTCTGTTGGGAACGTTGCGCTTTTACTTTCAACTACACTGAACTGACACATCATACTGGAAAATTGGAAAAGAAAAAAAAAGGCAAAAGGTTCTTATGTAATCTGATAACATCTATTCATTCCCTGTTTTTCTTTCCACATGGACATCATCTCACTGTATGATGATCGTAAACGTCAGCATGTCTTCAAGTGGATGGTAGCTAAATGGGATCCTTTCTTACGCTCCTTCGTTCAGAGCAAGATTACCTGATGAGCTATACAAGAACTGGGTTTTGGGATTTTAGAGATTTACATCCTTCCTCTTATGCTCCTACCACTGTTGCTTGGTTTGACTGCCACAACTAAGCTCTTGATTCTGTAAGATGGCGAGAGACGAGCGGTATGGGCTCTGTCTGCCTTAGTCCATCCACATTTCTAACAAGAAGTAGAACAAGAACTCTGATCTGAGAAGCAGAAGCCCACGTCTGTGTTGCAGACTTCCTGTCCAACATATTTCAGCAAGCACAGATTAGGCAGAACGACAAATTACTTGGCCTGTTACGTGGGCCCTTAACCTAACGGAGCTTTCCTCTGGTGATTTATGCCCAAATATCCATCACCCACAGAGGATGGAGACCAGAGGCATGGAGTGTAAGCCCTGTAAGATCAGACAAGGAGGTTCTGAAATAGGCATTTTACTAGAAACAAGAAGCGCTACGAGACTCGGAAAAGTGGGCAGCGGGCAGGACTGAGAAGGATGCTGCTATTTCAACAAGTCATCAACTGTCAGATTACGACTGAACGATGCCTAAATAAATGGTCAGGTCAGATTGGAACACCCACTTGTTTCCCAGGCTGTGACTCTTCCTGTGTCGGGGTACAGGAGGAGTTGGCAGGCTGGCTGCCACGGAGGCATCAGGACAGGTGGGTCTCCTGTTGAACCTCACAGCGGCTGACACTTCTGATGGACCTATAAAATAGACACCAATTAATGCTAAACTAAGGCTGAGAAAAGACATTGCCAGGAGGCAGGTGCTCCTCCGTTCCTGGAAGAGCTCTCATAACCCTAGAGAGACACATTACGCGGAAGAAGAAGGCAACATCTGCTTCAGGAGGAGTGTCCATAATCATAAACAGCAGGTGCCTCCTTGAACACTACTTCTCCGCCTACTGGAATTACACCATCCATTCCGATTATGAATCTATTCAATTAAATCAAAATAGCAGTTGGTTTCAAAAAACTATTCTTGAACATTGTCTGGATGACAACGTCTTACGAGCACACACACACACACACACACACACACAAGAATCCTGGCTGTGTAATGACAGTGACTCGCCAGTCGTGGAGAGCCAGAAGAATGCGTTGGGTGTAATCATCAATGTCTGACATATGCTTTGAGTTTGATTTGCGGCTCTCTTTGCCTGTAAACAGTTCGTACATATTGACTCGTAGCATGAGTATCTAAGGCAAATATAAGAATGTTTCGTGTAAATTGGAGCCAGACAGATGTCAACTCTGGAGTGTTGAGAAGGTCTTGGTGCCAACAGCCTACACATTTTTTAGCCGGTACACACGCTAGGCAACAAAAAAAAATTGAATAGCACGAGCCAGTGTTTCAGCGCTCTCCTTAGACTGAATGACACCAGTTCCGTATATGTGTGTGCGTGTGTGTGTAAGAGAGTAAGACAGAGACACAGACGCACAGAAATTGAAACAATATTAGCTGTTGGTGGCTTGGGAGTTTCTACCAGACGAAAGCAAGATGATCTCAATTGAGGCAATAGCTCCTCCGGACAAATGGGCAGTACTGTGCAAGGAATGGAAAGAGGGCCCCGCTCCCACAACACATTGGCACTTGAGCCTTAATGCTTAAAAAAAATAAAAAAGGTACAAGAGGGTTGCTTGCTTAAATGGATTTTAGGATATGAGAAGCTACCTAGGCTCCAAGGCACAACCAAGTTTCCTTGGTCACCCTGAAAGGAAACATTATGTGTATCCAGTAGAGAAATCACTTCCGTATATTAAAAAAGGGTGGCTGGATGAGGAGGATGAAACCTAAACAAAGGTAATTAATTATCTATCATGATTACTTACACCTGTGCTGCTAAGTTAATTCATGCTAAGCCTTCCCAGAAAACTGTATACACAGTGAATCAACACATCTGTAATCAGCAAATCTTTAACACATTTTGGGTTTGTTTCTTTATTATTTAAATATTTGCTCTGTCTGAATTTCTTAATGTCACAGACAGCTGTCTCTACCTTGGAAATGGTTAGAACACATCTGTGGGCATCCCCGTCTAAAATTAACATCAGAACATTGGATGGAAACAGAGGGCAGACAGGAAAGTGCCAATGAAACCATTCCAGCCGCCCTAAGATGTGCAAATGTGTTTCATAACTATTAATTTCAACGCAGCTTTAGTACGTAAGAAAAGGAGCAGCAACCCTTTCAGCCCAGATCTAGGTATCTACCAAATGGGGTTGGCTGGCAAGTCGTGAAAGATTACACTGCAGCACATTTGGGGCCTTTATCCTATGGCCCCGTCTTCACCATGGAGTGACAACCCAGAAGAAAGGTGTCCATTTCTAGCAGAAACCTATTTGTATGGCTACTTTTCTTGATCCTAAACTTCAGCTTTTGCTATCCGTGCTCTCAAGGGAAGGCCAAATAAGGGCAAACCCCTAACATGGAAACCGAAGAAAGGCAGGCGCTTGGAATGGAAGAGGCAAAACTGGCTTCTGGATCTAGAGGTAAAGGGGAATACTGAATATATAACCTCCGAGGTGTCTCACATGGCCCTCTCACTGGTCAGAAAGTGATGTGTGTTCTCTTTCATTCACACACAAATCCATGTGACGGAAGGAGGAGGCTCCTGGGTTTCCTGCCCTGCTCTACCAATAGCGTTTGACAATTCACACTCTTAATGGGGTGAGTCACGTTGGCATTATGTAGTTCCTTTGAAAGCCTTATATTAAAAGGCCAAACACATTAAAAAAAAAAATAATAATAAAGCTCTTGTCCAGGGCTTTAACCAGAACCACCCGTTGGTGGTTGCTACAAGAGAAGCTCTTTCTTAAGAGTTTTTTCATGGAATTTTGAAAACGAACCACTTTCTCTCAACGTGCAGTTGGTCCTGTCTTTCCCCAGCCTCGTGCGCAGAGTGACTCAGCCAGGAGGGGAAACCAAGATCCTTCTGCAGTAGAGAAACCCTTGGAGGATCTATATTTCAATCTTGCCATGATGATCCTCACCCACAATCGGTTTAAATTTTGATTTCTCAGCTGGGAAGGTTTGATGATAATGGCTTCAGTATTCACACCAAAGCTGTACTGTGGAGGGGGGATGAGGAAAGGAAAAACTATCAAAAAAAAAGAGTGATGAATGATGGGAATGTGGTTATTTGTAAAAACAAAACTTAGTTTCTATTGCTGTTCCTTAGAATAATACGCCAAGAACAAAGGAAAGCTTTTCCTCTGCTGAACGCAGAGACGGAGTACAACATTATTCTGGTTTTGCTCTTCCCCAAGGCTAACAAGAAATGTCTGACAAAGTCTTTTTTATATATAATACATCCTGTACATATGCAGAAACGAGAGACTGCAAGACACCTCCAAAACCTACTGTGATCTAAAGCTACTTTGTGAGTCTGGTCCAGCATAAAGTGCTCACTCCAGAACATTTAAGATGCAAGTTTTCTACAAAGTAGTGAAGATTATTTGCATGCAGTGAAAGCTTTTCCTCTGCTGAACGCAGAGACGGAGTACAACATTATTCTGGTTTTGCTCTTCCCCAAGGCTAACAAGAAATGTCTGACAAAGTCTTTTTTATATATAATACATCCTGTACATATGCAGAAACGAGAGACTGCAAGACACCTCCAAAACCTACTGTGATCTAAAGCTACTTTGTGAGTCTGGTCCAGCATAAAGTGCTCACTCCAGAACATTTAAGATGCAAGTTTTCTACAAAGTAATGAAGATTATTTGCATGCAGTTTAGACTATACAAAAGGAAAACGTCACAAATGCCCACTGTAGTGAAAACATAACTCAACGATAGCCGTGGTAAGCATTTATAGACAGTTCTGCCTTAAGGGCCATGGAGCTCTTCTGCCTCTTAATACACAGAGAACAGCCCCAATTTCCACTTGCAACCACTGATGACTTTATACGAGAGGTTGGACGGTATGTGTTGCTGGGCTTGTCATCCCACTGAAACATTTGCACTGGTCTTGTAAATAAAATGTTTCCCTTCACCTTCCCCCCCCCCTCAATTAATGTCCTTCTGAGAAATTAATCCGGTTGTGGACTACAAAATCCGTTGCTCAACCATAGCAGGATGCTTCTCATCTGAGATATAAAACTTAAAAGAGTGTAGTATTGTGTAATCTCTGCATTGACACACATCTCTAGAAGCAGCTTCTCTTTGGAGCAGACTAGATTACGAAGTTTCATCTGCTAAATATGTTCTCTCGGGCTGTGGTAAAAGGAAATAGGAAGCAGATCTGTGTTATAAGGCCAGCATCCATGGGCTGTTCCTGAAACGGTTGCCATTCAAGTTAATTATGATAAGAAGAACAATGTCATTTTAAGATAAAATGGTGCCTGCTTGTTCCTCCTCTGCCCTTTGCATGCCTTTTCCTTTTTTTGTTTTTAATCATATGTTTGAGACTGTTAAGTTGATGGGCAGGGACTGCCTTGCCTCTATTTCCATAGGGAAGCAGCTTCTGGGAGATTTTTTTTGTCCAAGCAATGGGGGTGGGGTGGGGGAGACAAATGCTTTAAATAAATAAATACATTTGAGATCAAGTCATGTTGGCTCCTTATCCCCTCTCTAAACAATGTCAGCTGCTACCAAGTGCCCCTCCTGTTTCATACTCCTCCACCCTGTCCATTCTGGTGCATACCATCACCGTCAACATCCTTACAACCCCCCACACACAGACACCAGTGGAACGAGTGGCACCTCACATAATTTTCCAAGCTTGGTTTTCATTAGTCCTCCTCGTGACTGTCAAGACAACGCCGACACACGAACAAAAATAATGTATAAAAGGTATTAAAACATTATTACAAGCTGCTTATACTGGGAAGTTTGAGGGAAGCGCCGCAGAAGCTGACGAGTGCTGTTTAGAAAGCTGTGGCAGAAACATTTGGAAAAGTTGACTAGCTTTAATATCCCAACGGATCTCACTGTTTTTTTCCCCCCTTTGCATAATTTTCCATGAATAATCACTCAAGTGTTATAAAGGAATCACAACTTATGCAATCTTTTATTAGAACATTGCACCTCGAGAATGAAACCAGTTTTGTCCTAATAAAACAAAACAGAAGCTAACACAGTTTATTTCGGAAGGGGGAGGGAAGCTGAAAGAGGAACTGCATAACTCGTTGTTGGGCTGGGTAATCTGTTTGTGGCCCTGACTATGAGGATCACCTAGAAAAGACACTAAAGAGATCCTTCAAACAGAAGAAAACGGAAAGCATGTTACAAGGAGAATTAAGCTTTTAGCTCTGGCTACTGCAAGCTAATAATACTCCTTATTGCAGTGTTACATTAAATGCCTGCTAACATATTCAGTATGGAGGAAATTTGCAAGTTACATCTGCTGCCTGGCAGAGATCAAATAGAGGGAAAGATTAATAGTGCATTTAGCCATTTATATACAGTTCAACCACAATTTTCCTCTTGAATGGGGCAGGGGCTGTGAATGAGAAAGAAAATAAATGACCAAGGAATCAGCAGGCAGTGCTGAGATGATATTGTTTCAGCCTGTGAGCCAAATACAGTGCTTTTAATTGACATGCTTCAAAAACTGGGTGAATCCCTTTTGATAGGGAACACAGACATGGAGATCCCAAGCTGGACGAGGCCATGAAGGCAGGGCACTCAAAATAAACTCCTTCCTAATAAACTAGTTCGAAACATGTCTTTTCTCCAACATGTCTTACTTCTTTAGAGTG